ATTAGCTTTGTAGAAGGTATATATATATATATATATATATATATAACAATTATGTTTACTCTATAGAATGCATACCGAATTGTGAACGAAATGAGACGGAAATTGGCGTCCGTTTTTGCAACCTGATTGTCGTGAAAGGAACTTTAGAGTATTGACCTGTATTTGTCACACTCGGAAACTGATTGCTGTAGAATGGTTATGCCGATCTGGTTCATTCCCGTTTGTGCTCGACAGTTCATGCATTGAAGGAATATTACACACTGTAGTCCATCTACTGCCCCAAAGCACTTCAGATTTACCCTCAACCTGATTGATCTAAAAGTGCTCGCAATGCTCTTTGCGATTGGCTGCAGCTGTGAGTCACTGGCTGTTGAGGATACTGTCGACCTCGTTTAACAATCTCTGCGATGCAACATGACTGCCGCTGCTGCCGACCATGCATTACGGTTAGGCTCCGTTTTCAAGTTCATGCCGGTGTTGGCTTATGTATGACAACTTCCCGGCTCATTCTGCCGGTTCATTTTCTGATGTTGATCCTGAACTTATCGATTGTCCCACTTCACAACAATGATTATGTTTAGCAGCGGCGCTGCCAACGAATATATGATTCCGTTTTGTGTTCGCTGGTAGGTTACTGAAGTGTTACAAAATCAGACTGGAGTCAGCGTCTCTCTGAACACGAACGTTCCAGTAGACGAGGTTGCAAAACAAAGTCTCCTGAACTGGTGTCGTGCTGTGACCACTGGTTATCCTGGCGTTTTTGTCCGCGATTTCTCTACTTCCTGGCTTGATGGACGAGCCTTCCTGACGCTCATTCATCGCTATCGGTGAGTTTCCGTTGTCTTTCCGAATTGTATTCCAGTTTTTCAAAGTTACAGAAGCTAAGAAATCGTATGACACGATTTCAATAAGTTTGCATAGCCTACTTTAATTTCCGCACTCTAACCAGATTATTTCGTTTGTCTTCTGAGTGTTACTATGAAAAGCCTGTTGCATAGTCAAGCTGAAGTGAGAAAATACTCGGATTTGAATGACCATTGCTATGCTTGCGGTTAGCTCCGCAGTATATACTGACTGTGCGCTAGGCAGACAAATATCTCTATACCAATTCAAGTCGCAGAGGATTCCAAGTTCTTTCGAAGAGAATCAGGCTCACGAATCCCCATGGCTGATTTCTTCTAGTCAGTTTTGGCTATAAAAGCGTCATCTATGAATCCATACTGAAGACTGTTGAATTTGGTATCCGGTCATCATTAGATCAAACACGATGTTTACAATGGAGGAATTTGCGCCATCTTATTCAACTAACGGCAGACCAACCGTAAATGTCCACCACCATCATCATTGTCAGCTGTAATAACCCCGTACTCGTCTTACAGTGGTTGTAGCTGCCTCAGTTTCGTTCACCGATGATTCGGGGAGGTGAGGAAGATAGCCGTGCACTGGAGGCGGGAGCTGATAAATTAGTGCGCAAATACAGCACTGTAGGTGGACTGTTAAGTGGGGGGATTGGAAAGGGAGCTATGGATTGAAGGTAATGGCTTAGATTCATGAGCGCCATTGAGGGCGTGACTGGGCCATGTCTGACAATCTCTCTATCCATTGATGTGGCCTGTCTCGGGGTCCGCATCGAGGGAGACGGCAGTGACCAACGCAGCTGAGTTTGCTGGTAATGGCTTTTATACTTCGCACAGTCAAACTGAGTCTTATATGAGCATGGTTTGATGAGCCCACATTATGGTAAGAGTATAAGTGGTGACGGTATCGGTGTTGGTCGCATTGATTGGTTGCGGACAAGTCCGTTTCTCCGATTGGCTGCCAACCTCTTTCGATAATCCTGTAGAATTTCTTCGGCAACATGCCTCAATCTCCTATCTAGCCAGTTTTCCCAGTCTCAGTGATTGCTCTTGATCCCGATCAGTGATGGTACTTACTTAATCATACTTCTGGAAATGCGTCCATCCGTTTCCCACTCATCTGCAGGAACCATTCCGCGTCAGTACTAATATGGTCTATTTTAGTAATCTTGGCACAATTTTTTGTTTGCAATTCACTCGACTTTCTTTTGCTTGCTTATCTCACTTCTGAGAGTTACTTTTCAAACGTTGTTTAGCCAATTAATCTTCAACTGATGGGTTCATGCTGTCCAGTTTGTTTGTTTCATTACTTTGTAAAGCAAACCCGCCTGTAATCAATATAGGATGCGCTATTTTTACACGTATCGCCAACCCGCCCACAAAGTGTTCATCAACTTTCCATCAGTTGGTTCTGGCTATCGTTTTTACTGCCCTGTTCATCTAGTCTTTTCACAACACGGTGACTACGCTTGAATGTTTCCCGCAAGATCATCCGTAGGATCGATAACATGATCTTGGATTTTCCTGCTTACCACTGCTCATGACCGCTCACGCTAAGCCAAATCACGTTTCCTGGTGAGGCAGAAAGTGTCTACTAAAATCCGGGAGCTGAAATTGCCTAACGAAACCCAAACACGACTGTCGGTTAATTTCAATCGATCCTACTTATGGAGAATATGTTCTACCTCTATGTCGAAGGGTAATCTCGTCGCTATCGCCCCCGTACTTTAAGGAATGAAAGAAATGAGGAAGGAAAGGAGCCTAGTGTTGCTCGGGATGTTTGTGTATCCACCAGCCTTTTAGTCATGCGGTATGCATGTAAGCTGATAGCACGGACGCTGTCTATATTGGTTCATAGCCGTATGTTGCATCATTACTACCGGAGCTCAGGCAGAGGCATGTGGACGTTATCGCTGACAGTCCCAGAATCGCTGCAGCTCCCTTCATTCTACCTTACCAAGTGATGCCTCGTCAGCTTCACCGTTTGACCCAGAAAGCTAAGGTCCCCTCTGTAGGCCATAACCTGGTATACGTGTATTATGACCGGACTTCATTCCGGATGCACTCCTCAAAGGAGGCGAGTAAAGGATTCCATTTTCTAGTAATCTCTTTACGAAATAGAAGAAAGTAGCAAATACCTCTGAGAAATAGATGGTAATAAAAACTGAGGCGTGCCAGGCCCTCTGACTGAAAAAACTAACATCTTTCAACTCATGACTTCTGTTTTTCTGTGGTGTACAAGACACTCAGGTCTGAGACGTCCAGTGGCTTAATTTGTTGACTAGTCTGTTTCATTGTGCCGAAGGATGGGCTGAAGGTCAACAGATGTTATTGGGCTTCTGGGAATCACACATCACATTCCGGGCAACAGGTGATAGCTCTGAATTTCCTATAAACACCAACTAGCCATCAACAACAGAAATCCAACGTGAGATATCAATCCTGGAGCGCGGCAAGGCACCTGGCGCGAATGGTCTGTACCCCGCGTACGAGTATACGGGAAGTTTTCGCCTGAGTTCACCGTGTCCAGTAGTGTACGACAAGGCTGCCCTGTTTCACCTTTCCTCCTCAGCTTTGTTATTGATATGCTGCTTGAAATTCGTCCGCCTGACTCTGGGTCCTCTGGTGTCGAAATCCTCCCGGGAGGTTCCCTCACATAAATTGGCGATATTGCTCTCCTTGGTTCATATACTTCCCAAATGCAAACGATTTCAAATAACCTTAATAACTCTGCCGCAAGGTTTGGATGCTCTTCACACCTCCAAAGTGTGAAATGCTTCTACATGACTGGGTTGAATCAAACCCACACCTCATGCCTGTAGGTGAGCCAATCGACGTAGTAGATAAATTTGATTAACTGAGTAGTTGTATAAGTTCCGATCGACTGGCAGGAGATTAGATTACTTCTCGAAATGGGAAAGGCAAACCAGCTTTTACCAAATTCCGACACCTACGGCGTCGAAGTGACGTGAGTTTGTCAGCCAAGGGTAGAGTGTACACTGAGGCGGTGCGATCCATACTGCTCCATGGATCAGAGACGTGGCCCTACGCGCAGAGGACATACGAAAGATATCATTGTTTGACCACCGGTGTCTCCGATGTATTGGTCAGACCTGGTGCGAACACCGGATTAATAATGCTGAGGTACTCCAGATGGTTTTAGGAAAAAGGAACTCTCCAGCGATAGACGAATTACTCAGGCTTTATAGGTTACGCTGATTCGATATGTACTCCACATGTCAGAAGACCGTCTGTCTCGCATAGCTCTTTTCGTTCAGCCCTGTGCTGAGTGGAAGCGACTGAAAGGTTGACACTGTATGACCTTGCAACGAAGTATGAAGACACTAATGAGTGAACTGAGTTGGGTCGACAACTGCCGCCTACCTGGATGGGGACCCCGTAAATTATTTCACCAATGGTTAATGACACTCTCAGAAATGGCGCAGTCGCGCAGTCAGTGGAGTTCCTTCATCAAATCCATCGCCTTCAATGTGTAGCTACCCAGTTTCTGAACTAACTGAACATACCATTGCCTTCCAGGCCTACCTGTTTGTCCCACACCCTCCCGTTCTCTTGTGGTCGGAACTGTAGCAGCCGAAGCCAATGTACCTATGATACACGGCTTATGGCTGATAAATTGAGTTGAAATTGGATTGGTCCTCCCCTCTCCCCAATGGTGTTGTCGGTCTTTCATTCATACCTTAATGACCGATTGCCGACAATCTCTTGATCTTTTGTTGTTCGTTGTATTTTGCACTGGAAACCCCAAATACTGAATCTTCCCCTCACGTTCAACCACATGCGTACATAATAAACTAATAAAAATCGCATGAATGACTTTTTGCTAATACCCAGAAGCAACACGATTTCTTCCCTGGCGGTTTTAAAAAGTGGCCCATCCCCGTTAGGTTTTGTCAGAGTTATTACTGTTTCCCGGCTGATTCAGCGTGTGTGGATTGTCCCTACCAATCCAGGCAAACATCATGTGAATTACCGCCCACGCTTTAGCCGCGCGGTGACTTTGATCTCAGTTTTCTTCGGTGAACAGCAGCGAAATCATCCTATAGAAACTAGTGAATTTTGATTCTCCATAATTGTGTACAATAATAATGAATGATAATCGTCCAGCTGTAACGGCCTTTTGGCGCTTAGCTGCCATGATACCGGAAGGAAGCACGAGGGTTAAGATATTGCTAGGTTGCCCAAACCTAAACAGGAGAAACCGAAATGCAGAGGTTGAATTCGAACCACGGCCGTTCCGGTCAGCTAGTTCGCGCTCAAACTACCGAGTCATCTGTGTATAATGCACAAAACGCTTGAAAATAATTATCAAGGTGGCTCGGGCTGATTCTCGCCACTATACTACCAGACCTTTGCTCTATCTCATTGAAGCAGAAGGGGGCTCGCAATAATCCAAAATGAGTTTTATGAACTCACAGCAATAACCGCAGTACTTTGAACATTCATTTATGAATAAATGTTTTAAAGCAGTGCAGAGTGTTTTGAGATCTACTTATGTCGGTGAATTTCTGGTTGAAATTAAGTTTGACATGCCTAGCCTGTGATTTTCATTAGGTTTTACCTGAAGAGACTTTGAGCCTGGAAAACATGTCATTAAGTGTGCTGGGTGACCGTGAGGTTCTGGCTCGTGTGAATTCAGCTAGCGAAAGTGGAAGTGATTTCATGAGATCGGGTTTTGAGGATGTATTATTGGGTAATCTAGGTACCGGGGCGAGTGTGAGTACACTCATAACGCCATCCTTTCTGCGCCTATTTTCTTCGCTGGTGCACCACACGGTACGTTACTGGCGCACTGGGCTTTAGTTCCATCGCTGGATGTTGTTGCAGATGAATTCTATACTGCTCTTTTTAACTTTCCATCCAACAGGCCGGAACTAGTCGATTTCCATGTTGTTGATCGTCAATCACCAAGTCAGAACTTGGAGTTGGCCTTCACGTTGGCTGAAAGAGAACTTCATGTTGTCCGCCTGTTCGATGCTGAAGGTAACTGGTTTGTCACTTTCCTAGTTCACAATTTCCTCCCGTAGTTTATCCGTATCGGCTACCCATTATGAATAATTTTAGCCAAGCCATGAACTATGTTTAAGTGTTCAAGTAATTTTTCGGTTTGGCTAGTTAGACTGATTTTCGAGAAGGTGAATATAACCTTGAATTTTACTTACACGTCCACTATCATCAAAGAAAGTCAAGTGTTTTTTTTTCGTCCACTTCATCAAAGAAAGTCAAGTGTTTTTTTTCATGCTTGGCAAGAAGAGATGTGGAAATTGTGTGGCTAAAAAACTGTCGGGAATAACTACTATTCCTTTTACTCTCGATTCATCATCGTACTTGTTATATCAACAGGGCGTAGTTTGGCGTGAAAGCCTTGGCAAAAGAGTGAGCCACAACGCAAAACTTATTTGGTCTCTGCTGTATATGAAACAATTTTGAGAACTACGTCCTTCCGCGAGTTTGGGTCGCGTTTCATGGAGTATGGGAAACCGTAATTTATCTTTCTGAGGCAGGGAAACCAAATTCGAATCGAAAATAAAAGTACATCTTGAGCCACAGATTAGGACTTTATCTTCCGCGGATTACGTGCATTGAAAAAGCGTATCTAGAAGTAGTTGTACGCCATCATATTCTGATTTTGTGGAATCTTCCCTCCTGAGCTGTGTGAAATTCTGTCCGTAAGCATGCGCGTGCTTCACAGTTTGTAAGCATGTGAAAAATTCTGGTTGTCTGTGTAGACCTCAAAGTCCTTCAAACGATTCCTCGCTTGAACCCGTTGTTTGGTGTCCAAAAGGCAACATCTCGATCATTTGAACTGGTGAACCTGCCTTGTTTGGGGCCTGACTCAGGTGGTAATGAGCTAAATGAGTCTGAGGTATCGAAATGCCGTTTGAATTGAAACACTTCAACCGCTCTTGGTCTATTATTCAAACGGAACACTGTTCCATCTGTGAAGTATGCTCACAGTTGCTTTTGCATGCAGTATCAAATGGTTGTCATCCTCCGAAGATACCGCATCCAACTGGTTCTTTGAAGGTTTTTTGGGCCTTCAGGAGGATACTTTTCGCCCCGGAACACGGACCACTTGTTGAGAGACGTTGGTCAAGTTCTTAACAGAAACCAAGAGCTGTGACGTTCTGTGGGTCCTTGTGTGCATTGAGTATCCTACCCTCTATTCTTCGGAATTTACTGTGTTCATTATCGGTCACTTGGATTGAAACCTTGCCGCATTTAGTTGGTGTAGTTCGAAAATGTGAACGTCATTCACGCTAATTTATGGAATCTCTGGCCTTTCACTGACACTGCGATGGAAGCAGTGCCTTGTCCTATTTCGTCCAATGGATGAAAGACGTGAAATGGTGGATATGTAGAAACATCTTGAGCACGCCGTTTTTGTGCCCAAAGTGCGGGTTACATTAAAGCGAAAGGTTAACAGCACAGTATCATCCACTTATGCTTGTGGTTTCTTGCTTGTTTTTTCCTTATATTTAGGTTCCGTTGGTTCATTCGTAATATTGATTGTCCATTAGTAGGCAACATCTGGATGCGGTCCCTTCAGAAGGGAACAACTTTTAACCTAATATTCATTCCTACAATTGTTCGATAGCTATTTATGGACCTTTCTGCACTTAGCATGCGTGTTCATCCGCATCTACTAGACCCACAAGAAGAGGCATCATCGCCGCACAAAGTTTTACTCCGTCACAACAGGTGGAACAGTGAATCACTGTATAACTTTCGTTGCACTTTAGCTGTCTCCGGAGTCATTTAGTTCCTGGCCGGCCACGCTAACCACATTGCAAAATAGAGCCAACTTACTCTTCACTCTCGTTATAATTCCACTCCGCGCTTTCCAGCGAAAGTGACGGTACGTTAGGCTGACGTTATAAGGAATTCAAGCACCGGTGAAGCTCCACAAATGACACGATGACACCTGAAACAGTACACTCATGCGCTTCTATGGTTCTTCACAGAGGGCTCTTACAGTGGATATACACTAATGTCCCGGCTACTAGTTTTTACGAAGGTATGCAGGTCACACTTAGCTTTGTTTTCGCGGTGGGTGGTTGCAGGGTTGATAATGGGGAAGTTGAGGAAGTGTAGTATGTCTTCTTCATCAACGACGCCAGGCACTGTCCCGGGGTGTCCTCAAAGTACTGAATCTGAGTTGATGTAAACGGATGTACACCGTCTGTACGACACGAGAAGGCCACTTTGGATGACACTTGATATCGGGGAAGCGAAAGTGGAAGATGCGTTGGGCAACCGTCTGTATAAAGCTAAGAAAAGCCTGGGTAACCTTAGAACGAGTTGTGTTGTAACGAGGGTAGAGCTTAGCTCAGCGTGATAAAGTTAGCTTCCAAAGCTGCGTACACATCACATATTCGAAACATCATATCGAGCTATTCCCAACCAAGTTCGTGAGAACGCTTTTCTGAACTAATAAGAATTATAGTATGCTTACTCAATTACATACTTATTCTGGAGGAATCAGTTCCACAGGTAACCACGAAATGCCATTGCAATGTGTTAATTATGCAATTCGCCCGTAGCACTTTGTTTCCGCCACTGTTTTCTCATATTCAGACACGTGTGTTTACTGTTTTGAAATGAACTGTATCGTTGCCTTGATGATGTCTCGGTAATGAGATGATTTGACTAGTTTAACGACAGGTCTGCTATCCTGCACGTGATCGTTACAGTAGTCCCGTTTTCTGCAAACCTATGAGCGAGGTTGTGGCTTTATTGGCCAGTCAGTTGACCGTTTAATCCAATGGTCAGTTGAGAGAGTAAGGAGACTTCGCGTTTTGATGCATTTCACACGATGTAAAGTTCTCTTTCTGTGCGGTCCGTGATTTCAAATTCCGTGATTTTTTCATTCTGGGACGAAAACCAATTGCGTCTAATCTGACACTAGTTAGTACTGACAACAATCCGGCCCGTGCTACAAATTTTGCGTTTCATGTTTGAGCTTATCCACTCTGTTTATAAGTGACAACGTCTCTTCAGGATTACGATTCTAAATGCTCCATCCCTTCCGTTGTTTTGTCACCGTAGCAGGTTGTGTACGCAGAATTATCCACATACTCTGCGTGATGCATGAGCTCGTATGTGACTAACCGTAAAAAGACCGATTGCCATCGACTCAGCAACAAGGGCAACAAACACGGAGTTGACAAGTTAGGCGCGTCTCACTTTGTCATCGATCGATTATTTTTGCAGGTATTTAACGCCGATCTCCTTTGGAGTGTGTGAAAATTATAATCGCGCGACAGTTGACAGCACGGCAAAACGAATTCTGCAAATGGTCATTTGAAATTAATTGCGAGGAATTTTATTTTATTTGAAGTCCATTCGTAGTCATTACCGTCCTCACTGATGTTCATTACTGATGTCACGTTGTTGCTAAATGACAAAAAATGGAAGGAAGTTGATAACCGAATTCAAGCCTTTTTAGTGATTATTTCTGAAGGTTACAAAAACGACCATTTCTACCGTTTCTTAGCTTATCACTAAAGATAGAATCTATGCAATGGATCCTTGTTTCATTCTCGAACTTGCTAACTTCAATTTCAGGCGCAATTTGTCCCATGCAGTGAATGCTTAATATTTCTGTTTGGGCTATTTGGTTTGAAGCTCTCATTTCTTGCATATTAACCTGGGGTTGGAGGCCGAAATGCGTGACTACAAATTTGGAAAAATACCCGGTAACACAGAATACAAGATGATTAACGAACATCGCTTTGGAACACTTACGTTGTTATTGTTCCAAGGGTATGTCATATTTTGAAATCCTCGCAGGAGAACTAGTCGGAGAGAAGCGGAAACCACCTAACCATGTGGATGACAGTTTGGTTCTGGAAATCTTTGTTTGAAATGAGCTTAGGGGAATACGAATTAGCTCCTGATAGGAATGTGAGTCACGTGCTTGTTGGTTAACGTTTATTCAGTTGGTTATGGTCACGCATATTCTTTAATTGTGCAGGCCCGCTTAATAGCGCCATGTATTTTTGTGTTCCAGACCTTGTGTCCACCACAGACGAACGTTCCATTATAACCTATATAGCCTCACTGTATGAGGCCCTCGCTACAGACTCCCCGTCGATCCCCCCGCTTCCCGCGCTTTATCGTGAATCTGTCCTAGAACCAGTATCCATTTCCCATGGATCCGTTTTGGGACATCTTCCATCAGACCAGTCCTCTGCACTCAGGACACAGTGGTTGGAATATCGATCCCTTGCTACTGAACTTGCCCAATGGCTTCGACTGACCACTGATCGCATGAATGCACGAAATTTTCCATCAGACTTGAAAGGCGTTCAACAACGTGTAATGGGAGAAATCAAAAGGCATCGTCTGGAAGAGCGACCTCGACGAGAACGGGAGCGTCAACAATTAATCCGAATGTTTGAAGACCTAAAGGTTTGTCTGGTTGTCCCATATCCTTTTCAACTGTGCGACCGCCTTCCTCGTCCTTTTGGCGGCCTAATATCTCTTAACATTCTTTCTAGCCTGGAATTCGAGCTGGACACATTCCGAATGACCCGTTCTTGCGAATTGAGCAAATCAACCGATTATGGGACGAGTACAACACTGCTCTTGAGGAGCGGGAGTTGGCTGCACTCAGCGATGTGCGTCGACTAGATCGATTACAATGGGCCGCTGATCGTATTGTGCGGGAATGTCGTGCTGTGGAGTCACAGCTTACTGCATTGGAACGTCGTCTAGTCGAAGTGAGTTGTCCTGTTTTGCATTTTTTCCCAGTACACTTCGCACTACCTAAAACCGAACTGTTACAACTTGGATTTCACGAAGATGTATTACTTGAATGTTATATATTGGGAGATTTTATTGATGCTATATAGACAAGTAAATAGTAACCAAACGGTCTCACACTATTGTATTTTGAAGAATGAGAGGACGCAATAAATCATCCACAGCGCCCGTATTTAATCTCTTATTCGTGCTTGCAGTGCAGTCCTACTCCTTATTGGCCTTTCTCATCTGCCGTGTCATTTTTCTAGAGGGTTCTCCTACTTTGTTGCAGTTTTATGTTAATTGACACGCTTATCTCGCCGATTTATCACTTTACCAAAGACTGAACCATCGGTCACTTCCATGCTGGACTCTCAACGTGGTGGACGCTTGTGCCGTTGGAGCGAACAGTTGGGCACTTTGGAGACAAAACTTAATGGTCTGTTCAATCAGGTGCAGCATTTGCGTAGCGGTCGATATGTTCACACAGAACAGATTTATCGCGAGTAAGCAAATCGCCTTTTTCGCCCCGGCATTCTTATTCTGTTTGCCACTTTCCTTGAACACTTCTGATAATTGTGTAAATCATAGTCATCCACGTGTACCAGACAATGAAGTTGCTTGAATATGACCCGGCTTGTTTGTTCTTTATCCTTGCTGGTTGACATTGATTCAGGTCAGTTTTTTCTTTACCGGAACATAAGTCATACGCCAGCTTGTGCGTCTCTCTGTGCTTGTGCGCTCACTCACTCACTCACCAGCTCCGGTGAACTGCCATATTTTCCATCAACTCTGACTCATGCACACACCGATACCAATATAATTAGGTATACTGAGGAATGTCAACGTATATTCTCATTAGATTGTGTGGCTACGTACACCGATCTATTCCTTGCTGGCATCGAATCGGAAGCGTGTCCTCTGTCATTGTTTTCAATGGATTATGGTAGAGTAGTGATTCAAGCTGGGTAATGTGACAAAGGACAAACAAGGCATTTTGTGACTACTCTACAGTAACCTTCCTGTACCTGCTGCTTCGCCCTTAAGACTTTTGAATCAGGAGCTTGGTTCACGACTCTCCTAGGCAATCCGTCACTCGCCTCATGATTGACAACACCCTACGTGAAAACTTGTTCTTGACGAACATCAGTGTTAACTTAGATGAATTCGGTGGACTGGGGTTCAACAATAGCGTTGTGAATGCGATAGGCCCTCTTAATACTGTTTCTTGAATATCTGAACTGCACACGGATGCTTCTTTGCGCATTCGATCGATGCTCATCCCAAACTCTTCAACTTATTCTGATGATCGAAACTTTGTGGATCATCAAAATCTTGTCAAAACCCGTTGGTTGTACCGTTTCCCGGCACACTTCACAATTGTCCGAACTAGTTTCGCCACGGGTAAACTGACTTTGACCCTTTTCGATCTCGTGCATTCAGCGGGGTTGGTGAAGGACAGGCACCAACCAATTCATTCACACGGTGCACTATTTGATTGTAAGTGTCCGAGAATAGTGGGACCAGTCAAGTCATCTCTGTGAGTGAATGATAATTGGCGTGGGCTAGCCCCATATAGTGTTGTATTGAGGTGTCCATGTGGGATTCGGCTAGAAGCGGTCAAGCTGCGTGTGCAGATTCATCGATTTTGTCATTTTGCTGTATAATTAACCAACTCCGCAAATTTTTGGATGTTGGATGGCAAGTAGCTCTGGAAGACTGGCACAACGGAGCTTGCAGTAGATGATTTTAAACATTGTCAATCCGGTCCAAGTTTAATGGGATGCCAGCTTTTCCATGGCGAAGTTTGAACCCAGGCGTCGACCAGGTAGCCTTGTCCTTTTCAATATAACGACAAAGAGAAGCGTGCTTTTCACAGGGATATGTTCAGTCAGCAAAACTGAACAACTCCCACATACCGCATAGAAATGAATGACTTCTTTACTAGCCGTCCTTCTTTCGACCCGCTGAGATACTTCGGTGTCGGATATATAGCATCCTGTCTTCTGCTCTGTATTGTTATGGATGCGATTCTGTTTCTAGAAAAGATCGGCAACCAGGATTAGAACGGTCAGTTAGTGCATGTTGGACGGTTCGTTGAAACACTAACTATGCCATAACCGTATGGTCTTAAAAATCAGTCAAAACACTAAGCACTGGTTGTACAAAATTCGTTTCTGTGGGCACAAGTATGTATGTTGGTTTATCGAACACCGAAATTGAAAGCATACACCCCCAACATAGAGCGATCGTTTCCCTGAGTCTTGTTGTCTATACTTATTATGTAGAATGCTTTGAAACGTGTAGAGACTGTGATCATTACCATATTTGCCAACCCTGAGGAGCTTAATCGGATTTGATGCGCACTGTTTCTTCTGGTAAGAGTGATGCAGGATGAACGGCTGTTACGATAGGTTTTCTAGAAATAATCCCCCTCTATTCGAACTGCCCCTTCAGTGGTGTTGGATTCGTGCGGTTTTTTCGAACTTGTAGAATAAATGTCATTGGATCAGAACATCACCAACGTGAGTGTTGGATTGTGTGCGCACGATGATTGACTCACCGTACATCAGTCGCTTACAGAAATTCAATCAATGAATAAGCCGACTGCACAGACTTTATTTCGGCGTTGCTTATCAAGCATTGGAATTCGTTTCATACATGCTTACGAAGGTTCATTGTACGTTACATCTTAACCTGACTGTGTTGTAGACCTTTATTTTTAGAGTAATGGTACTCACCTACGGGATCAGTCATTTAATTTCATGGTTTCTGCGCATTTAGCTGAGGAATTCTCGCACAGTGTGAAACTTACGTCTCAGTATGTCTAACAGAATGAGAAACGTCGTGCTGGTTGGTACGTTGTATCTAGTGATTTTTGTTCGCTGCCAGGGATGATCTCACAGGTGTCTGAAATACTATGCCGCAACCAATACAGAAATAATGCAGCTGTGTCGCTCCAGGAAACCCGGTTGCTCTCAAGCGGTTCATGTTAATCTGAGGATGAGAAATCCAACTAGCGAATTTGTTCTGGTGAAGTGCGCACAAATTCATCAATCAAATTTTTCAGCCCGAAATTGGACACTATAAAGGTGGATGATTTCGATGCTGGTGCTTGAAAAATGAAAAAAAGAACTTGTTTGTTTGTATGGAAGCGTAAATCTGCTTATCTGCTTACACAAAAGGTTTCGACTGATATCTACATGGTGGATAGGTTAGTGCTGTGAAAATGAGCCTAACCTTTTTTTTAACTGTGTCCAATGCTTTGGGTGGGATGACAGTCTAACGGTGTTTGCTTTCAGTGCCCTCTAGTTTCCTGTAGAATTCGTAGGATTGGCTAATTTCGTGCGCAAATGTCGCTTGTTCAATTCAGCATGAACGCGCGTTTGTAGCACCTGTATGCATGTTGCAGCAGACAGCATGTGTTGACCATGCCCAAATGGAATACCATAATCCATTTTCTGTATGGTTGAAAAGACGAACAAATCGGTTTGTGTTCGATTGATCACTATTAAGCATGACCGGTTATTCGAACAGACGTTATATACTCCCATGTATATCACATTGCTGATCCACCACTCGTGGCTGGGGGATTTCGTATTCAAACTATGTGTTATGATTGAAAAGACAGACGAAACTGCTTGTGTTTGATTGGTGATCGCAACTAAGCGAGACCAGTTATTCGAACAAACGTTATACACTCCCATCTACATCATATTGCTGATCAACCACTCGTGGCCGATCGTGTGTTCAAACTACAAGCTGTGAGGTCGCGAGTTAGAAACCACCCTAAGTTTCTCTAAGATGCTCACCGTTGATGATTCGCAGTAAAACGTAGAACAGCTGCACATTGCTTGTCGACTTTCCAGCACGGATCCGTTCGAATTACAGGACGAAATTTCAACTGAAAATCGCCGCGTCTCTTCATACTACCAACAACATTTTGCATTGTCAGAAGAGTTGTCGAGTTGATGTCACGCTGTCGATAATGATGGTGATGAGCTGGAACTGTGAGGCAGATAAAGTAATGACTGTTGCAGAAGTCAGGAAACATTATATATATATATATATATATATATATATATATATATATACGTGCACTCCACCGCTCATCCTCTCNACCCCCACTCCTGATAAAGAAACAATATATATATATATATATATATATATATATATATATATATACGTGCATTCCACCGCTCATCGTCTTGCACTACTGCTTTTACGACGGACAAACTCCCTCAGTCTGGGATCTCAGATAGCATGTGTGTTCAGTTCATTGAACTGATCCACCAAATATCCCCAGCTCCAGAACAAGTTTTTAACCCTATAGTGACCCATGGACAAAACCAAAGTCCTACTTCGGCCATAGATTAAAGTCGTCTTATGAATATGAAGCTATCTGGTGACGTGGAGTTATCAGTATCTTGGATTTTCGTGGGTTAAATCCACCACAAGCGTTTTTCATGGCCATTACGTCTGTGCTCTATCTGTTTTACTTCCGTTTTACGATTTTGTTTTTTCTACAGTGTATGTACTCTACACCAACGTTTCCTCGACCTCCAACGGCGATTACGGCAACAAAGCAGCCACTCTGAACCGAATGGAACGAAAGCATTACATTCCTCTCAGGTCAGCTTAAGTCATCCGGCCTACCTTTCCAAACGCTTAACTCCTGGTTGCCAGGATCAGCGATACGAGTTCCTAACCCCAATTCAACGATGTCTTGTGTGGATCGATGAGCATGTAAACCTAGTGAAAGAGGGGTCCTACGGAAACTCCATCCAAGGCAAGTTATTATTTTGGACAATTTTTGCCTACTTATTAGTAGATCAATTCTATTTACGTTTGTGATAATGGCTAGTCCTCCAGCTGTTCTTCCTATGCATAAGTGTCCGTCCATTGCGAGACGTGCTTGCCTAAAGTTTCTTCATCACACAGGAACACAGGAACCTCGGTTTAGAATTCGCCGCAACAATACCTTCACGTGCTAGAATTTATGGTGCTATTTTCACCGAAATTTCATGTGGTCCCAGATTCTAGCAAAGATTTCGCGGCTTTTAATGTCGCATATTTTCATCCCTTACGAATTCCTCTTAGGTGTTGAAACTGCGTGTCGGAAGCATGAACAAACGATCCGCGAAGTGGCACATTTCCGAAACGAAATTGAGCGTTGTCGTACAAACCAGTTGAAAGTATGTCCAATTTTTCGGTTGTCGATTTTTTTTACCATCCTTGTCGCTCCCTTTCAAATGCTATCGGGCGTCTTTCGATTAATTTGCACCAGTTTAAGCCCTCTTTCTGCATACTTTTATCGACCTTGTCCTTGGGACACTGGTTTATCAGTTTTCTTATCACTAGTTTTCTGTATCCTGTCGTCTCTTCCCTTATTTCTATTGTTGTTGCCCTACGGTCTCCTGAAAACTTTTCACCGTAACCTTGGGTTGGGTGTTTTATTGTCTACTTACGAGGCCGCTTCCTCAACACACAAACATCGCATACAGACGTAGGTCATAAATGACTGTAACTAGGAGACTGCTTTCCGTTAATTCTTGGACATTCTTTTCGCCACAATCTTTGCAATGGTCCTCCTAAGCAAATACATCACTGGGTTGGACCAAGTAGTCTTAGTTGGTGGAGTCACTTCCATCGTACGAGCAACTTTCACCTCGTACATCTCCACATTTGACAACTTTTCAGTGAAGCAATGAAGCGGTGCTTTATTTTCCTTTTCCTCTTAATTTTATCTTCCCCGATCCTTTCCACTTTTATTGCCATCACAAGTCACCCCTATATTGGAACTCAAGACCACAGCGTTTGAGAATACACCGCTCTGCGCGTACAACGCGAGAATGATGTTGACGCACTGCTACAGAAACCGTCTTGTCAATGAAGCCAAGTGGCTCAACAGGTAACCGTTCGGCCACGAGCGATTGATCATCAGTGTGATTGGCTTCCACTTAGACGGGACATAGTGCCGCTCATCCTTCAATCACATGAACCACATCACATGGTCACGTGTTGACTGGCCTATCCGGTGACAGCTTCTTAGTTGGAAGTTCTGCTCATCCTGTGAAACTTCTCCTCTAATCTCTTTAATATTTGGTCGTGATGTGAGGCGATTTGTTAATTCTCAATAGAAATCCCTTCGGAAACTCTGAGTTTCGTGAGGTGAGCAGTGCTGATGATTCCCAACAAGGATAAAGTAGCTATACAATGCTTCCTTGCTTTTCAGCACATATCGGCTTCACTGACAGGACGGAAGCTGTACTGAAAATTGTGAAATCTCTTCGTTACCACTAAACAACAGCTAGTCAAGCATTTCTGTTAGCCTCTTTCCTTAGCTCCTTTTGGGCACCTTCATCAGGAATTCTTCGACAATATCCATTTACTACAGGTGATGAGACCCATAGGTTACTTCCACGTTTGCTGACTTGGAAAAATATCCCTAAGCTGGTGTCATATCGAGTGTTCTGATCTTGGTATTTTTTGCTTGCACCAGTGTAACTGTGGTGACACTGGAAATCTTTCATCGGATTGCACTTTAGCATTTGGTTTATGCATTAGTAATGAGCAGCAAGGTTTTTTTTCAGTCCATCTTCATGATTTTTGGGTGAACTCTGATGTCTGCTGTTAGCAGGATACCACTCAATTAAGATAGATTCCTCAGCTACACAGGCCTGTTCAACTATCACAGCACTCGGATCACCTAAAAGTCCTAATTCATATATCTCAGTCAGTGTATGATGTTGGCTCTTGAATGTTAGTTTCGGACGGACAACGCGTCCTCACTCAGGTGTTTCGTTGTCTTGGTAAGTGCAACCGTTTGCCAATCCGTTAGATGCTGGAAGAATGTATGGGGTAAGATATGCTTGGATGACACGATTGGCATCCTGGAGCTATAGGTCACAACCACCTGTTACTTTATGTAGGGTTGAACCAGTAGCGTAATACCGATCGCCTCTTGTGAAATCAATCGCGCTGGTCATTGCCGTTTCCATGAATGGGGACCCCAAGACGGGACACAGCAATGGTTAGAGACATTTTCAGACGTGGCTCTGTTTGCGCTCTCAGTGTTGCTCGTGAATCCAACCTGTTGCCTTCATTGCATAGCTTTTATCCCAATCTCCCCAATCAAAGGTTTACTGACAACCCTGAATGTATGCATCAATTATACCAGCTACCGCCTCCAATTCGCGGCTACTTATCCCATCTCCCCAAATCATCGGTGAATGAGCCTGTAGCAGCTTGAACCACCGTATTGCAAGTGTGCGGTTCTCACCGCTGCTGCTGCTAATGATCATGATGCGTACATCAACAAGATAAAGTTTTGGGAAGGAACTAGAGTAGACAAGTCGGGGGGAACGACGTATGGCGAGGCAATACCATAACTTGATTGTGTCCAGTCCACCAACAGAGCCGCCACCTTTAAGCGTGCACAGTAATATATCGGATGATCGTTATGGTGGTGTTTTCCGTTTGTGCGGAGACAATACCTCCCGGACACTAAAACCGAGGAAGAAATTACCCCCCCCCCTTTTAATGCTCCTGGCGTGTTCGTTCAACTTGATGTGACCCGTGCGTTATAGGGGTTAAGCAAGTGATTCACCTTCCGCCAAGAACCGCCAAGGCTTTTTTCGATGCAGGACATTTGTCTAGGATGCTCAATGCACTCTTCACTCAAAAGCCCGGTTACCTTGTATGCCGTCCACCAATCGTCTGGAATTTGGGCTCAAGAAACGGTTGACCATCTGATCCGGGTGAAGCGCCGGTCATCCGCTTGTACTTCTCATTTTGTTGAGAGCGCTCGCTCAGCAGAAGGCGGTGAACAGAATTTCCCCCGGAGGCTACTTGAGTAGAATGTGTGGAAAGTATCCAGGAACGGCCACGCCGGACCAACTACCCAGGCCTCCAACTCTGATCAAAGTGAAACCTTTGAAATTAGGTGGGAACCCCGCAGACTACATGAATCTCATTATCTCTCTCTCTCTCTCGTAAAAATGCAAAAACTTATCGGCAGGTCACCGATCACATTATTTTCCCTTGGTATAATCTTTCAGTAAACCGCGTTCAGAATATATTCGTTCCACCTCTAAATGGACGTTGACTTAACTGCTTGCTTCGAATGCTCCAAGCACTATATATATATATATATATATACTGTATATATATCCTGTAGTGTTTACTAAGCAACGACGACAAAATATTGTAAAACCTTTCTTATACTCTTACTCTTCCAGGCCACACGCACTCCGGAAGAAAAGAAACTGTCTGAAGAGTCCATGCAAACACTTGATCATGCCTACCAACAGCTGCTGGTCAGTTTAATCATTTTTCCATCCTGTTCTCTAAACCTATTTCGGTCTAATGATTTGCCTTTTCCGCTTCATAGTCCTGTTTCCAGTGTTCGTTTTTTCTTCGGGAATAGGGCCACGTGGTACTGTATCAATGGGTTTCACGATAAAAAAATATCCACCCTACTATTCCCCTCTGATTACATACCAGTCGCCATCACAATCATCCAGATAATCGTCGAGGACTCAAATGGGACACAAACGGATTACTTCTCCTAACCTCTATGTCTTCGAATGTGCAGTACCACTGAAGTCCGGACTTGTTCAATGAGTTTAGAAAGCAAACGTTCATTTAGTTTGGACAAGTTTTTGGTGTGTTAATGGATGCCCGTTTTCATATTTCCTCACGGCTTCATTAACGTTATTTGCTTTTCTTTCTGCTGGCTGGTCTGAAATCCTGGTCGTTAGTACAATACCCTCGACTCTATCGATCACTATGTTCAAGTGCGTCAATATCCCAACCGCCAGTTACACGCCACCCTTATGGTGCAATTCGTCAATCGACTAACTGGCCCATTCCAACTTTTTTTCTATTTTAAGCTTCTATGCTTTTGCTAACCCTTTTATTATCGATCGGACCAAAGGGTGTTTCACACTATTTCTAGATAGAAGCACTCCGTCCATCTGCTCTCGTCTGTCTGTAAGTGCGATACATGCGTTGCAGGTTTTCCATGCCTGGTTTTGGGACTACTCGATCAATTATGTGTTACAACTTAGTCTTTCGCGGATATTGCCTTTCACGTTGGCTCTCGCTATTGAGTTTCTAATATTGGAAAAGGATGCAATATACGGCTTATTTTTCATACGACCAGTTTCCAGATTGGCAGCCTCTCCACTCTCGAACGAGGTATATGTTCGCAATACATCATGGTTTTTCTTAGTTTTATCTTGCCCCCCTCTAACGCTCGGGCAATTGCACTTCTTCCTATATTTCGGAAGACAACTATGAATTAATTGGTGGAATAATTGACCTTACTGTAAAGATCGTCAACAAGGGACTACAGATCATGTCGTTTGGAATCCGGGCCCCTTCACACCGTTGATAGAGGACTCATCAGAGCGAACCCGGGGCAACATATATCTCTATAACTTGAAATAGTTTTCGGTTAGTTTACCTGATTATTTGGCGGACTGATTACGCTGAATTATGAGTACCCCGTTTTGCTTATCTTTTCGATATTCTATGGTGTGATTACCGGGCGTGTGCTGTTGCTTCACTACACTGCGACCATGTAAGTTTGTCACACAAATGTCCATGCACTATAGACTTTCTGGCGGGTGTACATTTCAGATACTTGACCAAACAATTGGAAGGGAAAGAATACAATTGAAGTAGGTTGACGGCATTGCCATGAAATGTCCCTCTATAGTCGTACATGTCTAGGGCTAAATGGACCCTTCCTCTCACAGATTGTCTATTCACTCGACGCTGTTGCTCTTTTTGCCTCCCTCACGCAGGAAATGTGCGATCATCGGACTAGATTATCACACTCCCTCCTGGATTTTGTCCGTCGAGCTACTCATCAGCTGGATTGGTTGAGGGCACACGAAGCACGCGAGGTTCATCGGGATTGGAATCGTCCAGATCAACTGAATTCTTCTGAAATCAGGCGTGCTTTACAGGTGGGTTAGTGTTCTGCATGTCTGATAGCTTCCATTGATTATCTCGATCATCCACTCGGTCTTGTGTCAACTGAAAGCTCTACTCTCAGTTATTAGCCGAATAATAGACTTAATGGAAGCAAAACTGTCTGAACCTATGTACCTATAACTGGAAAGGGGTATGTAGCCACATCTTTTGGATTCCGCTCCTTTTATCTATTCTACCATGGTTTTTTAACCGGTCATATTGCTCAAAATCATTCCCAGGCTCAGTTGGAGCCTCTGTTACTCCAAACATCTCACTTAGTTGCCCCAACATTTCGTGAGTTAACCGAAGTTTATAGGTAATTGTGAACTTTCATCGGACAACGAACATTGATGTTTTTGAAAGCCAGTCATTGTGTAACTTTCAATGGCCGTTTGATGTGATGCCAGGTTTTCAAAAGCCACATTTTTTACTACAATATGCCGGACTTGTACATACCGAAAATGTTGGTAATTGATCAGGTGGCTGTTGATCTGTTCGCCGAGCTTGGTAATTGGTTTGCAAACGTTTTGTCACCATTCGAGGAGACATCTTCAGTGCGCTGTTGGTTGGGTAGTTCCCAACTAAGAGCTTGCAATTTTGACGCAACACCACCATGTATGTACCTGATCATACTCAATTCAGTCAACATTCATACAATATCGCTGCATCGGTGGCATCCCGCAAAATGTCATCGTTTATTTGTTTCAGTTTGCTACTGTCACGACAGCCCGCGGGAGCCCAAACCCTGTATATGGTTCAATGAGTCCAGGGCGATGTTCGTCGAGTTAAGGGAGGTCTCGGCTAGCACTAGATTCCTTATGCAGATCACATTACTTTAATTGTGCTATGGATTGCCATTGTACCTCAACCTACAGCCCGTCAACAGTTCAGTTCATCCAGGAACTTCATACTTAATAATGGCATCTGTTTTCTTCACTTCCCGAACCTACCGTTTTCTACCTCCATTCGTAGGAGCTAGTGAAAGAGTTGAAGTTACGTGAGCCGGGCTTCAGTGATCTGAGCGTGGCGGGCACTTCGATGCAACTGGATAATCATCCTGCCTCGGATCTAATACAGGTGCGTGTCTGCTAACCTCCGTTATGAGGACAGCAAGTTTCTTGGCTTTTCTTGGAACATGAGATATTTTGCTTTTTAACTAACCCTACAGTCACCTTGTATGATATCATGGATTGCCAAACCTGGCAAAGTGCACTTTGACGGTTGATTACTATACCCAGTTTGCCGTGTTTGTATGGACGCGATGTAAAACAGGACCAAAATGCATTTGGTTTCGATGAACCCTGCCAGTAATGTTACCCGCTGAATGACGAGCCTTGCAGTTCCCATCAATTCGTTCGATTCGCTTGATGGGGGCATTCGGTTACTAGTGTATTGTCTTAGTTTTTAGCGTTCCGGGTCTTTCGGGGAAGTTTAATGACGTGTTCAACTTTACAACTTATGTCAAACACTCCGGCTGTTCCAACTGTAGGAAACTTGTAACTAGGCTCCATGTACCTTGATACGCTATTTCCATCTTCACTGTTGATCTTCTGTCCTGATTGAATGACTTGCTTCGGTCTCCAAATGAATCGTGTTTTCGAGTTCTTTAGGACTTCAATGCTGGAACAATAATAATCACTCAGCTGTAACACCCTTTTGATGCCCAGTTACCATGCCACCCGAATGAAGCACGAAGGCTGTGATACTGCCAGGTTGCCCAAACCTAGACAGAAGTCAAGATGAAGAGGTCAGGTTGAACCACGGACCCCCCAATATTACTTTGGTTTTTGTTTGGAGAGTGTCTCTAGCCTTTGTGTACCAAGGTACACCATATTGTACATATAGGTCTTTCCTCTGGGGTTATCGGCAACGGAAGTGAGATCTGTTAGCCATTCCGCTTTCCAGTGCGTTTTCATCTGTTCACTTCAACCCCTTATTATACTGTGAAAAATACTACGAATCTCACGCAGGATTCGCTAATACAACAAGTCTTATAGCCCGTGAGCATATCTCAATACAGCAGCACTCAATACAACAGCACTTATCCTCAATGTATCCGACAGGTGGGCCATTCCAGTTCAGAATAAAGCCCTCTGTGTGTGAGAGTTCTAGCTGCTATCCAATCTTGTGCCAGACAACCTCAAGGTTGATGTTGAAACGACTTGCTCAGGTGCTTGGAAAAACATCTGCGAAAAGCTGTTGCTCCGTTAGACAGAGGGTGTCCTTCCGTTCCTCGCCTCCAGTTAAGAGTGTGCCGTTGCGGCACAATTTTGGCCAGCCAACCGTATACTCATTTCGTACCTCCTAACTTGTTCTTTACGAATACTTACATCATTGTCTTGATCCACTTAACTAACAGGCTCACATCTGTTTTGTTCGTTTTGCAATTTTCTATTGGCCCTGGATTTGTTGAGATGACTGGTTCCGATTAATGGGGACCTATTTAGAGCGCCATTGAGGCTTTACCTAACCAAATCGCCTGTAAGCTACGCCTCATTTTGGGTCACGGCTTCCTTCTTCATAGGCTTATGTAATTGCCCTGGAAAGGCACTGGGCTTGGCTGGTTCAACTGATTGGCTGTTCGGAGAGCCGTTTAGAACAGCTGATGCGGCAAGAGTCACACACTAGTCAGGTAGCCGAGTGTGAATCTGTCCTGACAACACAGTTGCATGATATGCAACTGCTGCTCGGTCGGTCGTGCAAGCGTTCGAGTACAATGGAAGTGGATCGTCTTCGGACTCAACTGCAGGTGAGTTAAAGCAAGCATTCCAAAGACCCCCAACTAACGTCTTCCAGCTCGACTTTCCCACCAGATATTACGTAGCCAAGTGTATTAGTAAAATAAATTTCAATTGGTCTCTTGTATCTTTTTGATAGACTGTTTTGTATGTGAATTTCTCTTCAGTATGCATTGGACTGCTTAAAGCGGTGGGTGCTGTTTCGGTAAAGCGATGTTTACAAATCATACCCTATCCTATAGGACACTCCTTTACCTTTCTGACTGTGAAGTGGAAGACAGTTCCTATTAAGCATCCTAAACGGTGACAGTTCAAGAAGCAGCATTCACGTTTTTCATTCACTTTGACCAGCTCGACACAAAACTGTGTGAACACCGATGCCTCAGAAGCGTTGCTGGTTGTGAATGGCGCCAACTGTGATTAGAAGACTGATATTTGGTTGTTCAGCAGCTACTTCAATCACGGAAAACATCCGGCACCACCAACTACGGTGGCTTGGTCTTGTGCTACGCATGCCGAAACACCGTCTATCGAGACGAGTGTTCTCCGTTTTTTCCTTCATTATTGCACAAACCATGAGGTGGACAACGTATTTGGTAGAAGGGTATAGAAGAGGTTACGAAGAGTTTGGGTGTTGTTGGTGTTGTATGCTCTTCAGGATTGAGTCCCCGTGACGTTGCCTGCGCTTAGCAGAAAACATGGCAAGAAATGGCAGCTGATCGACGTCAGTGGCACTCCTGCTGTCAGTTTCTTTCCAGATTATCTGATTGAGCGCTTGTAGGTGTAGGCGCCTCAGAATGCTTGACCTTGGTCAACATTCGATCCCTTTCCTCACCCCTTCTTTTTTCTCTTCTTTTCACTCTAAGACTTTGAATATAATTAGATACACTTTATGGCGGTAAAATATCCGTGCCAATACTGCTGTTGGTTTTTCTGATGGTGATGGTGATTCATATAAGTGGAAGATAAGTACAAACCCTTTTTGTCATATCGATGCTGTTTTCAAATGGATGCCTGAAAAAAAGTAATTGAAGTGAGAGATTTTGCCATCCGTGAAAACATCGCAGTGGCAAAACTTGGTCGTAAACTGTTGCTACACTGTGTTTTCCGCTATTGTGGCGGACATCTTCACTGGCGCACTTCAAACAAGTCTTCTTGTGCGATGAGGTACAAATGTCAAATGGTAGGGCGGACAGTCCTTCTATCAATAAATTTGCTGTTCAATGTTCCTCACACCTTTTGCTCACTCGCACTTCTTTTGAACTCTCTCACTCCCTCTGTCAAGCACATCGCCACGCAACTGAATGAATATGAGTCATTAATAAATGGATTAATGGTGGATGCACAAGAGATTGTTCCTTTGAGTGTGGGTATTGGCGAATCAGCCTCTCTTGGTTCATCCCTCGATCATCGACATATTGGATCACGTGTTCGTCCACTGTGCTGTTTCCGATCAGCTGATTATTGGTTCGACAAGCCAAACGCGACCTATCAATCTGTGGTGGGTGAGACATTCTGGCCAAGGGGATCGGAGGCTGCCGAGTTCGATAAGGGGGATGCTCTGGTTCTTGTTGGAACGACTGACACAAAAATGTCGAATGTGAGTTTTCCTGTTGCTCTTGTGATCGCACCAATGACTCGAGAATGTTATTGACATTGATATGGGTCATGTTGTCACTTAATTATGAGCACGATATTTCTACATGTTGAACGTCGCTAAAATGACATTTCGATTTTTGCGTATGTTCCGTTTACCTCTATGCGTTTCCATAGCAGCTACTGTACACTGACGTCAAACCCCATGTGCTTTCTCTTTAACGCTTGCAGCTCCGAACAGCCACTGGAACGTGTCTGCAAACACCCACTGTATGCTTCCTACCCTCTTGGCCTTGTACAGAAGCCATAGAAAGGACACGATGTCTAATGAATTTTCTGAACAAGGTGAAGTCCTGTTTGACCTTAGCGGATCTGTCTCTTCGGGGAGAAGTGTTATGTGCATGCATGAGCGCTTGGAGGGACGATGACACCAACCAACCCTTCACTGTTGAAAGTTTTGAGGAGGCAAAGGTTAGTTTCTGTTCTCTTTTCCATGGTTTTTCTATTATCGAATATCTGCGATCACCATGAAATACGTATTGTCTACGGTGATTGAGCCTTATACTGAATCATTCGTCCATGAAACTTCACAGCGTATTTACGTCGATGGATTGCGCCATTCATTAGCGCTGCGGCTGGCCAATCGGCCAACCGACGAAATTGACCGATTTGAAACGGAACTGGCCCGGTTTGACAATATCTTGATCAGCACCAGTGTTCCCCCTAGTCAAACAGAATCGGGAGCCTACTCCGAACTCCGTCAAGTGATGGGACAGCTACGACTTGGTGTGAATACACTTGCTTCTCAACTTCAACAACGTTGTGCCTCTTCTTTGCCAGACCGGGTATCAGAACTTGAAAGGCGCATTCAGGAACATAAAGTAAGTCTAATTTTTAACAACATTTTAGAAGTCTCGTCCTTTGGAACTTGCGTATCCTTATTGATATCCTTATTGATATTTACACATGTTTGTAGCCACTCCGTATGCAATTCTTAGGCTTTTGATGGAGGTTTTCACTTGGAAAACGTTATCTTTGTTAGTCCGCTTTCCGGCCATTTTCCGTCTACAGCGGTAAGCTCAGTCTGGAGCGTAGATGTGTGAAGATCCAGTGCACCCGACTGATACACTGAAACCTGTCAAATAAGGATGTGGGGAATAAAGGTCTTGTTCAAAGCTCAATCATCAATTTTCAGGTTTCACGGGTACATCAACGCTTGGATTCTCCTGTAACACTTGTAAGCCAGAATAGTTCCACAAGCACTTGAACGAAAAATGCTGTGCACCAAATGTTGTTCCAACAAGTATTGTGGCCCCAGTCTTGTACCGCCCGTACTCATAAAAGTAACTGTGTGCGGGTGAACTCGTTAGAGCTTTGTTCGTTCAGTGTTTCATCGGCGGGAAAATACCTGATTTCCGTTAAATCGCCAAGCTAGCTCACGAGTCTTAGAAAGGGGCCATCAAATGTCGACCGATCACCTTCACATCCTGACATTTATGATTGTTTGCAAGCATATTCTTATCGAGGCTAAATTCCATCCAGTTAGCCGAAGATACCTACCGGTTAGTTTGCTGACAACGGCGCTCTACCCGTATTCTGTCGTATATCCTTCGTGCTCTTCAGCAATTGACAGGTTGGCCAAAACACTGTGTTTATTACTGCTGGGTTGTACAGTTGATTTTAGCACCATCATTCTCTGTGTTCTGCACTTCACCAATGGACGTAGCGAGCAATGTTCGTCCGAACGTGTGTATGTATGTTTGGGGAGCCCGAGGTCCTCATCACCACCAACGCACATACGTGTACTACAAGGATCTATTCTTTCCCCGTTCTGTACGTCCTTGTCCTCAATCCTTTCAGCCGTTATAAATTAGCTGGTGACATTGTGGGTTGCAGAAACCGAATTAGGTGGACTTATTGAGTATTCCTGAGACTGCGCGCTTTTCCTTAAAATCCCTATTACCCTTAATGGTTGATATCATTTGTCTCTCAAGACCTGGAGAGTACGCTGACTGAAAACTTCAGTTGGTCGACTCACGTTCAAACCTTTTTTAACCAAAATCTACCGGGCTTTTTACGTTCTCAGATTGTTTCTCTAAATCACATTTACGAATTCGCTATTGCATTGGGTTTCGCTGTCCTTCTATATCCCGTGGGTCTTTCGAGAAAAATGACCGCTTTTTAATAAGATTACTTTATTACGTCTCTGAGGACAATGCCGCGTTCTGGGGTGTCCTGATCAGCTTCATGGTTAGCAATCGCACCACCCACTTGTGGTAATTTATCCCAAAAATTGTTTTTTTTTGGATTGTCAACACCCTTACACCGTCTAAGGCCATATCGACCTCCTGTAGGTGGTCTAAGTACAAAATGTTTCCTATCAAATCTGCCACCTACCGAAATACTGCCGTCTGGTTTCTTGCAAGATCTGACTCATCGCAGGATGCACTTATGTCGCGCCTCGTCGTTTATGTTACTCCTTTCGGGCTGCAGAAAGTCATTCTTGGCTTAACCGGAAACTGGTTTATCAGGGTAAAAATCAAGGGTAGATTTGGAAAGATCAGACGTACTGATCTTTCTACCCTTATCGGGGTTTCGAGGGGCGCAAAAGTATGTAGTTGGGGTGCACACACGAGTTGTTTGTACGCATTCTTGTCCAACTGAGGTAAACACGGTTGGAATCCTATCCCGCCCAACTTTAAACTAGCACAGAGGACAGTCTAAACAAAAACGATATTATCCATTGTATTACATTGGTCCATTTGTCAGTAATGAACTGCTACTAACAACTATATCAGTAATGCAATCGGTTGACTAAGAGGCGTTAACCCGTGTTTTTTGTAAGATTGCATACTTTGTTGTCCTGCTATTTGGCTGACTCAAGCGCAGTCCCTTTGTACGCTTTCTCGTAATTTGGTATTTCACTAAACGTAACGCTATTCTTTCTTCAGCTGAATCTTTGCCTTCAAGCCGTAACTCCTATGCACACTGTCACATGCACTAACTAGGGTACTTTGGTATATAATCCCATAATAGTCCGATCCTTTTGCGTCCTTGAAGGCGGATTTGTTCGATTTATTGCCCATAGGCTATACACCTGGATATAGTCAACCACCTGTCATTCTGTTATTTGATTAAAGCACAGTCCGTTTTCTGGCCTAGGTCGAAAAACCAGGTGAGACAACTTGTCAACTGTAGTGTACCCCAATGTACAGCGGTACAATTACAGTATTATAACAGTGCTGTATTATACCAGAAGTGCAATCCATCCATATCAAATCATTTTCGAACGGTTCATGTCTACCATGTTTTGGATATCCCACCTGTGTAAGGTTTGCTAATCTGATCTTAGCTCAGCCCTCATTCTTCATTTTTATTACAGCTTTGCAATCTACTATCTCTATAAAATGTATTGTTTCCACTAGATGAGCAACTTGTCCACGTGGTGCTATGACAACTTTTTGGTGTCAGTGTTGTGATAATAAAGCCACGGGTGCTCATTTGGTGACGTTCTGTGTTCACATGTAAGCATAGTCGCATTACTTACTCCTACCTCCAATTCGGAATGCTGCTCTTTGTAGAAGGGCAATTATACCAACTAGGCCGTAGTCCTGATGAACAGCCATATTCAACGTCACTACCTTTGAAGTTTCTGCATCAAGTTTCATCTAATTTAAGACTTTCTCAGTTAGTCACATCTCGTGAAGCAAAACTATGCAATCAGTATGACAGTGACAACACATGTAGTCATTACCAGTGAAATCAAGCCACTTGTTTTTGAAGCGGATACTCCATGTATAAAGTTAACCATCAATGTAGAATGCACTCGGTTCACGTTGAGAGTAAACCAACTGTTGTTAATTTTCCCGCACGATGATACAATAGGAAATGAGTGGATTCGCCAGAATCTGGCAGAAGAATCGTCAAAGTCTGAAGATACACTTTTGCTCGGCAAAATCATCAATTCCATCCAGGATAACCACGAAATTCAAGTTGACTATTCTGTTTTATATTACCGTTCAAAGTTAGTTGAAATGGTAAATTTTATCAGAAATTTTATCCGAATGTTTGGCATAAAGAAATAGGACAGAACATAGTGCGAGGTCAATCGCACTTTTTACCCCACTTTAGTGAAGTATTGTCTCCGAGAGCTCACCAAATCATCATCTCATGTGCAGTCTGTACACTACCGAAAAGGGCATGTATGCCTCACCGATTGTAGAATGTCTCTTTTTGCACCACCTGGATTGATATGTTCTTAATTGCCTCATCATCCATCAAAATTATGTTTTTGCTGTGTGGTTGTTTCGCATATCACAAGGATAACGGCGGACCAACTGTTGAGTTTTATCAGTAGCAACTTAATAGCTACTGTGATCTGTGAAATGTATCAGTCACAGCAACTGCCAGTCAGTGAGTTCAATGCTCTAAATTGGAGTCCGCTGGGAACCAGCACCGTCCTCTACGGTGCATCTAACATTCATAAGAAATCTGTTTAAACTTTATGAGGATAGATGAAACGGGTCCGTTCTGAGGAAGTGAGTTGACTCGCCTTACTCAAGTTCCACATGACAACCGATTTCCGAATCGGTTTGTGAAATCTAGCGTGAATGAATCAGAATGCTGATGTAAACACACAAATTATACGCTCGACTCTTAGATCCCACTTCGAACACAACTCGGAACTTACTCCATAACTTTAACATTTATTCAGCGCCTTAGATGGACAACAGCCCAGCTCAGCGAACAAGCCAACGACCACCATATTTGCTGCTAGCATGCCATCGGATTCCTAACGAGGAACTCAATGTGCACGTAGTTCACGTTACAAGTTGCTCGGCAATCTAGCTAATCTATGCACCTCGAATATAATACAGTGATCCACTTCACCATAGTAGATTGTAGTATTTGTTCGTTGTTCTGGACTGATAACGCTTCCTGTTCTGATGATCCTTACATGCTAACTCCAGCGTTGTGGTCCTAATGTCCCTTCAGCGCATTATTATGGAAGCCGAACGCACATCATAATTCAGAGCTAACCAAGTGTAATAACGGTATTTTATCAGCCTAGTTCTCGGTCTGAACCTTCTAAGCTAGCGTTTGCGTCAAAACAACTAAAGGTGCACAAGGTGTTTTACCCCAAAAAATCAGGACGGAAACACTTGTCATGTATAAAGTGTATGTGGCAACAACATTCTGGAAATTCCAAAGCCTTCTAGATTCGCCATCGGCAACCGACAGTCGGCGGATACTGGATCGTGTTTGACTGTTGCGTCCCGATCTTTGGCCAATCAATCCTTGCCTTGATAGTGGATTGGCAAGTGGCCGGATCTTCTAGCCAGTCGCATGCGAGGTAGCCTTCTTCGCCGTAGCGGCGCCTAACTGCGAGCGGTAGAGTGATATCGGTGCGGAATTCCGCGTAACACCAAGTCACGTGTTTGCATTTCTCAGAGTGACGCTGATCAATCTAGGTCCAGCCTTATTTATGTGTACAGGGGGGGGGGGTTAGCGAACAGATGTCCGTACCGAGTACAGCCCTTAAATCAACAGAATAAGGAAGTAGAAAGTAGCATTGATGAATCTTATTAAATGATGAGGCAATAATCAGCAATCTAAGGAGCACCAACCACTTTCCCGTTACACAATACGGGGTTAGGAAATCCTGGGTTAATATTATTATTCGACCGTATTCGACCTTACTCAGTATATTCATCTCATTCTTTTTCCTAATAGCAGTCGATTGTGCTTTTGAATTCCGTCAGTGTTTGTGTATTGTATTTTTTTTCATCAGGCCTGGGTGAAGGATCTTGCTCATATCCAATCACGCCTATTAGAGTTCCATCAAAGGCTGCAGCGTTCAGAAAATCTGACACTTGATGGACAGACTTCTCCCATAATGATTCAGGCACAAGCTTTGAGTGACACTGCAGCTCAGCTGCATGTTGCTGGTCAGGGCTACTCCCAACTGCTTGCTGACACCGACGCTTGGCTGGCGCGTTTGAATAGAGCAGATGAAGTACTCGGCGAGTGCGAACTTAGTCTGCTTGGATCAGCTATACACATTCACGGTCTGTTTCCATCACTTGGAACTCTCGAGCCGGCCAATCATGACGGTCTGCGAGCGGAATCTGTGGAACGGGCACATAAGGATCTCAAGGTATTGTTTCCGGTGGTGTTTTTTACTGGTGCCTGTTCATCGCTTTTTCACAAACGTTTTTTATTCACCATTTCTCTCTGATCCATTTGCGATTAACTTACTCTGTTCGATTTAGCTTTCTTTCTTTAAACAATGTTGGCTGGATGTCACTGAGGCTACCACAAATGCCTCCCTCTGTATACCTATGAAGCTCGTTAATTCCAAGTTACATCTGCGTTTTAAGGTTGAGGTTCGCTTCTCCTTTTCCGCAAGTGAATCCTCGAGAAGAACCTTCCCTGCCCTTCCTTAAAAGAAGGAAAGCCTTTGGCCGCGGAGTTTTTTTTACTAGCAAACCCCAACTAAGTAGTTACGAACTGTTGTACAGGAACGCAAACGTCTCATATGCACCTTGTTTTCAAAAACTGACGATTCCCACGCGTCTCCTTCAACTTTCTTGGATATTCATTGACTATCACGCAACGAACGCCGCACAGCAGTTCCACAAGTTCAGTAATAAACCGCATATTCCGTGATATCCTTTTCTCATGAGAACGATCACTTACTTTTTATGAATCTCCACTCTCACACTAAACCTTTTTTCTCTCGCGTTCTTCGAGGTGTGAGCTTGTTGACGACTTGGTAGGGTTTTTCAGCGTGATGCAGTTTTTTAACAAACCTCTTTCCACGCCAATTAGCACGGTACCATCAATTTTGCCTCTTCGTTTGTCCACCTAGGCAATCGCCGAACGCCTACCACGCGTGCGCGCTGAATTGGATTTGCTTTCGCAACAAGTTCCTGACGTGAACAAACTCACGTTGTCGGAAAATCAAGATCCACATGTAACTCGAGAGTTCCTACGGCTATTGCTTCCAGTTGACAACCAAGTACTACTGCCAAGATTAAATATATGTCACCAACGCCTAGCGGCTGCGATGAGAGAAGTTGAACTAGAGTGAGTTTTCTTCGGGGGCTATAACTAACCCAGTCTTTTTTACGACTGTTAACGCAGGACGCAATCTAATCCCCAAAAGTTATCCAAGTGGGAGTTTGGAACGATTGGTGTGACGATCTCGTAGTTTTTGTTGTTCTACCTATTTGCGGTTTCTACGGTGTGTGGCATCAGTTTGAATCCGTAGTTCACTGGCTGACTAACAAAAGCCCTTAACAGTTTTCTCGAGGAACGTTATTGTTGTCAATGCAAGTGGGTCGTTTTTGTTTACAGCGTGAACCATACATCTCCTCCGAGCTCAACCTGATCAAACCTGATCATCAAGGTCCTCTAATGACGGTCTTCTATCTGAAATCTAAAAAAAATGGCTGAAGGTTTAGTGCATTGTTTCGTCATGATAATAAAAATACATGAAGTAACGTCCTGATGTGTTTACACTGTGTTTTCTTGGTTTCTTATGTCAGCTGGAGCGACAAATGAGCACTGCCATCAACAGTTTCCTTATTTAATATTACGGCGTAATATCACGAATGGGAGTATCCGTGGAGATATCAACGCGGAAGTGAACTTTAACCATGTTTCTGGCTTTCCTCACCTGGCAGTGTTTCTGCTCAAGTCCGGCTTCTCTTTTGTTTTTCAGTTTCGCACTTTTTACTTCGCCATAGGTATGATTATGTTCAACATTACCCATAATACGCACCCGAAAGCTGTAGTATTAGCCCTGGTGGGGCCGAAAATGTACAGCAGCGTCGTTTTGCCCACTTACCCATTCTTTTGATACTCCTTAGATGGTATCGCACATCCTAAAGGAAAGTGATCGGATATGGTCATCAGCTTTTCCGCTGTATTCTGTTGAAACACCTTTCATTCGCATAGATGCCTGATCTTCAGCTAAGAAGCCTACTCGCTACCGATGTAGCTGATTTTAGGTCTGCCCTTTTGTATCTCATTTGCTTGATCTATCATCCAGCGTCTCTCCTCCTCCCGCTTGTGTGTTAAAGGCTCAAAGCTTTCGGGGACTCACTTCGTTGTTTTCCTGCTTACCAATCTCTACACGATGACCTGCTGCATCAGATGACGGAATTCAAGAATCGCATTGTGGAACTCAGTGAACTGGTCCGGTCGATTGGATTGGAATCCGGTTCAGATGAAACGTTGATTAAGGCTGCTTTGGGGCAAGCAGATCAAATCGCTGCCGAAGTGGAACATCAGCTAGTAAAAGTGGAACAGCTCAATCGACATATTGCCCAAATGATACTGGTACTAACTGTAAGTGTTACCAGATATCCCACTTATTCGCTCCACGTTGTCTTCTCCCAGGTATTATCCAACCACATGTCATTGATGCTGATCCCTGGTAGACCTTATGGTCTAATGAAATCTGAGTAGTTACAATTTAGGTGGACTCTAAACCTCGGGATTTCCCCCCTAGCGTTATCAGTTTTTCCTAAGCTTATCCAGATATTTCATTTCCTTCCACTCCTGTATAGTTCCACCTGTTCTATTTTACATTTCCCCCCTTTCAGAACTATGCCAAGGCCACCCAGGACTACCGGCAACTCGTGGAAACGACATTCCAGCAGTCTGGTGCATCTCGGGATTACCGATGGTCCCCAGGTTTTGGTTTGTTTGATATTACGCAAATTCTTCGCAACGCCGATCAAATCACCGACCGGTACAACGATCACGCACAACAAGTGTATGATCAGATACAAAGTTTATATAATGTGAGTGTACGCAGCTCTAGTTCCCTAAACAGGTCGTACTGAAGATTGCTGATATCTGTAACATCTCTTTCGCTTTAACTCCGTACGAAAGGAGGTACGAAATCGGCCACTTAGATTTTGCCTTTTCTTGGAAAACAGTGTATTGTGGCCCAACTGTATATAAAAGCGAAGATTCAGGTCAGTAGCATATAGTTTTCGCTGCCATATCACGCTCTACGGTTGTTTATACATCTTTGTGACAACCATCGTCTCACTTACATCAGTTATGCTAGTATATATTGATCCTACCTCTTCCACTTCGTTGATTTCTGCATACAACCGAATCCTATCTGGTTGTGTTCTTCCTGTAAGACTCCTGTTCACAAATATAACGATGACCACCAACTTGAGAGAATTTACTGTCCTATGAAGAAAATTTCAATCGCTGTTCTGTCGTTATGTGCTGAAAAACCGAGAAGCACTGTACAGCAGTTTCATCCTTGTCGGGAATCGTCAGCGGCGTGCCTGTCACGAATCTCCAGGCAGCTTTGAACCCGCGACCTTCCGGTTAATAGTTGAACAATATACCGTTCCGCCGTGAGTGTGGCCAGATCGAGCCTTGACGGAACATAACCCCGCTCATTCTTCACTCACTCTATTCATATAACATATAACATATTAAATGGTTCATCGCATGACGACTTTCAGTTAGAAGGCTCGTGCTGTTTTCTTTGAGAATGAATTACATACAGTGTTGGAGAGCTCTGTCGGTTCTGCCAGTTGAATTGCTGCTCCGACATTCATTGCCTAAGGTTATACTCGTATGTCGTAGTTTCGACTCTCCATACGGACTCGTGGAATACACACGAGTTCCAACAGGAATTAAACAGCGGTACGCTGGTTCTTGGCTCTCCACCCGCGGGATGAAACGTTGATCAAAGATTGAAAACATCCCCATTGTTAACAAAAGCGAATTCATTACACTTCCCTGACATCTTTTCGGAAGAAGGCTGAATCCCATGCATACTTTCCCGGAAAATCCGTGTAGGTTTCTTAGTACAGTGGTCTCCAGCATCCGTTTCGCTCCCATCGGGTTTATTAGCTTACAATTCAATGGCAGCCAGTTCGTGTACTAAATTCTTTTCTCTTCCTTGTCTGTCCTTCGTTGTAAGTACTCTGGTTTGCCGGTAACCTGCTAATACTTCTGTGGTCCTTTTTCGGTTCAGGTGCTTCACCATTCGGGTTACAGTGGACATTTGCAGTTAAATCATGTTCCTCGTGCTCTAACTTATCGGCAAATCTATCCCGGCGAATTTCCTCCGGAATTCCCACAACGCCGATCTATCACACCTGATCAAGCATTTCGTCCTGGCTCCACTGCATCTATTCCAGTTTGCCTTCGAACGAGCGCATCTCGCCTACCCATGACGGAATATACATATGTGAATGGAGAACACCAAACGAATTGGGAACTTCGTCTTGATTGCATCGAAACGGAATCAGTTGTTGCTCTACCGAACGGATGGGATTTTCCTCCTGATCTCAGTACTGACCGGGCGTTCTGGTCACGTCTCAAAAAACCCATGCCGACAAGTGGTGCGTGGTTCGTCACCCGTTTATCAGAATTCGATTCTGAAGGTTGTCGGGACGAACCACTTTGTATTGGTGATGCACTTCGATGTGGCTTGATTGATCCACGATCACAAACATGCCAACCCTCTTCCAAAGCATCTTCTATGTCAATCTCATGGAAGGAAGCCGTTGAACGGGGTTGGCTTACAGACCAAGCTTCACGTGCTCTTTCCGATCCAATCCGAACTCCCCGAGGACTATACTGTCCTCTCGCAAGTTTGCTACTTCGACCCGGTGAATTTAATCAAACCGATGGTGTGGATCCTGCTACTGGAAATTATTGGCCAGAACAGCAAAAACTGGTGGAACTCTGGATGGAAAGTAAACTGTCGTCTTCCGATTTCACTCGTCTGGCTGCCGTGTTATCCAGTGGCATTGCAGTGGAGTACCGTGAATCGCGTGTATGCTGGTGTGATGCTTCATGTGAGAAACAACCCCCATCAATGGTAAAGCCATGTCTTTCTGACTGGCTCTCAGCAGGCGCCTATAATCCAGCTACTAGACGTCTGCGTGTCAGCATTCTCAAGGATAACTCGACTACCAATTCGGAGAAGAAGCTATTCTGTGAAGACGAACTCACCATCAAACAATGTATTGAACTGGGTTTACTCGATCCTCACATGCCTGAGGTTATCGTGCCGATGGAGACTTCTGAAAGTGCGCGTACTACGCCTTATCGTCGCATCACGCTAAATACGGCTATCTCCGTTGGTCTAATAGATGACGTAGATGGGTTGTGGTGCGGAATATCCCAGTGGGCAGATATTTCGGTCAGTCTCCACGTTGCGCATACTGCCGGTCTCATTTCTCGTGCTCCAAGTTTATCTGAGGCTCTACTAGCTGGCTTATTGGCCCTTGACCGCGTTGATGAGAATGGTCAATTGCGATCAGGATTGGTGGATACACATACTGGTAGTCACATATCCTTCAGCGAAGCTATTCAACGTGGATTAGTGCAAGGCAGTTGCCCATCGCTTATGCTTCTACGGGCGAACCACGTTAAGACACACAGTTTGATTGAAGCTCTACGACTTGGCATAATCAACGAACTTGGCGAATTTCGGTTACAGAACGGAAGTTCAATCCCCCTTTGGGATGCGGTCAATTCAGGTCTTGTTCATCTGGTGCATACACAGGTCTATCCGCCACCGGTAGGCGTGCTACAGCCGAAACTGGCCAGAAAACAGCAGTACCACCAACATCCTGTGTTGCAAGCGATTCGCACAAATTTATTAGATGCCGGTTCAGAAGAGATAATTCTATCTGAAGCGGAGGCCAAACAACATGGTCTTTCCCCAACAATGCGTAGGATTTCGCTTCGAAAATCTCCCAGAATATCGCATTTGTGTGACGTTCAAACAGTCAACCTATTGACTCGGTCGTCAGGGCTTATCTATCCAGACGGAAGAGAGCTGACGGGTTTAGAAGCTCTTGCCCGTGGTTGGTTAATCCCATGCAGCAGTTCACAACCAGGCTCCAGGCAATACGGACAGGTGATTGATCCAAATACAGATTTAGCTGTTGATGTGGTGGCAGGGACCAAATGGCCGCCCACTCGACCTTTATCGACCAACGGTGCTCATCTACTTCTTGGGCTCTCATCCCACCGGCCCTATCGGGGTTACCTGATGATCCAACGTCTGATCACCAAATTATCTTGGCTAGGACCTGGACTCCATGATGACAACCTGGTGAAACCCACGCTTTTCACGAACCTGCCTCGTGTTCCTTCTTCAACTAGCTTGGGTCATCAGTGGCGGCCAGAACAGATCTTGAGTGTCCTCGACCCAAGCACTGCACGTCATCTATCCCCGTCTGAAGCGATACGACAGAACCTTTTGGATTTGGATAGTGGAGTGTTTAGATTTCCAGATACGGGACGAACGATTTCATTGGGGGATGCAGTAGGCCAAAAACTGGTTCAAGTTTCTCGCTCCAAACCACTGGTAAGTTCTATGTCTGTTGTACAGAAAACTGATATTCGTCTGATATACTCTGAACCAGGACCACTTACACTCTTTCGTTACCAACTCAGGGACGTAAGACTGACTCTGGAAAGTTAATATGGTGAGGCAATGTTAGCCTCATGTACTATCGCAGTGTTAATCATCTTCACAGAGCCTCATCAAACGGCACATTTGGTTACCACGTTGGCGGTAACTGTCCGAGTTCCTATTTGTCTTAATTCCTTTGTCACTGGGTAGAGCAAAACAGGCTTACACTTTCTACTTATGCATGATTTCGTCTATTCAAAGATTCGCCGCTTCCTGACTGTAACTATGACTAAAACCTTGATTTGACTCATGCTCCATTGTGTTGCAATCGGACGTATCCAGTTTCACATAGAATACAGCGTGGCGAATTAAGCGTTGAGAATGTTCACATCCAAAAGCTTTCCGGTACACAATCAAACAAACGGGTCCTTACAGCAACTTATTTGGGATAGTTCCAACGGGCATTGCTGTCGCCTCGGAAATGTGTCTCGGTACCCGGTATCTAGTTGAGTCTTTGGGAATAGCATTTATCTTCTTGTCGTTGCTATGATCCCATACGGTTTACTTTCAATAATTCCACCTTTTAACAAGCTTCCTTTCTATCGTTCGCATTCTCCAAAAAAGTCATCCTCAATTTTTCTTCACCTAGAAACTCTACTGTGAGCCCCCTTTATGTACATTTTACTACCCATGTCATTCGTTCAATTCAGCGGTATCCATAAGCGGCTTGAGCCCATCTATGTGCCCCGCAATGGTTTTTGAGGCCGTGTGCCGGTGACAACGTGAGAACGGAAGGGAATAAAACAGTGTGCATTTACCACTGTGTCGACAGCTTTGTTATCTCTACTCCGTAGCATTTGTTTAGCAGCGGGCTAGAAATATAGGGGATATTCGATCACTGGTTTACGGTCACAGTAACGTTTGATAAATCGAGCAGCACACTTTCCACCACCGATCGTCGCCTAGGATGCGGTCCCATCTTCCCTAAGAGAATTTCATGGTCTGGTTATAGTTCATCGCTCCGCGTGTGCACTTGTCAAATTCAACTGGTTATTGGTGGACACGGAAAGCGTACAGCATTGAGGCATTTACTCTTACAAGGCCCACCAGACTTGTGGTTCAAAAGGACCATTTGGTCTCCAAGATTCTCTGTACCTCTCTCTAATAACATTTACTCACCAGTTCTCTCTGATTTGGTTACTTGCTATGCGCTTTCTAACTATAAACTTTGTCCAACTTAACAAGCGTTGACCTAAACACCTACTCCAGCTAACACAAAAGTGCTTCGTCCTGGTTTAACCCTCTGTCTGTGCGCTGTCCCATCGGTGGCCTTAGACTAATCGTCTAATTGGTATACAGGCAAGTTGCATGCGCACGCGAACACCCACGTACGCACGAACCCACCTGTTCGCACGCACTTTTCTGTCCACTGCTAATGGTAGGCTTCTGGCTCAACACTGATAGGTTGAGTGGCACTGGGTATGAACACCAGCGCCGTACGGTCCATTGATTCTGTCCCACTGTCGCATCCAGTGACGACCATCACGCCGAGATCACCATTACAGAGGCATTAGCGGTCACATCTGCAAACGTACGTACCTATCAGTCTGGTTCACCACGAAGTCTGGCATTTCCGTCGTGTCGCCTTTCTAGCCTTAACCGGAGATTTGTGGTGCTTTTGCTTTTAACTCGCGTGTATGTCTATTGGTTTTGTTCAGACCGCCACATCACATACTGATGCTAATAGTCCCGATTCATTGTCAATCACGGAGACCCGCACTTATCGAATTCTCAGCGTCATGGACCCGGCAACAGGTCAGTTGATTAATCCAGACAGAGCTATTGCTACCGGACTGTTGAATCTCACCGAAAGGATGTACATGGGCACACAGCCCAGTATTTCAATCGACGAGGCCATGAATCGAGGATTTGTGCTTGCGCATGGAACTACTCCCGTCATATGCAATTCAGATAGGATCCTCAATGGAGAGGCAAGAAATACCCCGAAGGAAATGAATCTTCCATTGACGTTGACTGAACTCATAGCAACTGGTCATATTGTCCAGGATTCGGACAATAGTTGCATGGTACGTGTTCCAAACGAACATACCTGTATCACTGTGAATGAAGCTGTTGCCATGGGGATTCTTGACGCTGAGCACTCCTTGCTTCGAAACATGTCTACAAACAGTTGGTCTACTCTAGCAGAGGCTCTATCCACCAATCAAATGGATGGTATAAGCGGATATGTGAATTTGCAACCCGGTTGGATTTCCATTTTGGACGCGGCATCTCGTGGCCTACTGTCGGAAACAGCTTCTGCAGAAGGTGGCCGAGTGTCTTTCGACGAGGCTCTGGCTCGTGGATTGATAGATCCCGTATCAGCACGGTTCTACAGACCTAATCAATCGGACTCGGGAGTCCCAAGTTCGGTTAGCATAAAGGAAGCTATTGATCGCGGATGGTTAGAACCACCAATCGAACTGAAGGTAGGCCCATTTCAAATGTTTTGGCTTGAATCACGGTGTTTGGCTGCGTACGCTGCGTCAGCTTTTCAAACGCCTCCGTTTTATCCATCTTACACCCTTCGTCTCTTTTCTAATCCAAATAATGCCTTTTTCTGATGGTGTTTAGTTGTTATGTCATCGAACAGAAACGCCACCAGTTTCAATTAATTAACGCGCGGCTTCACTGGCCTTTGCTGGTATGCCAAAGTGCACGTGAAACACCTCGTGTTCACTCATTTTGCGTTAACAATGTGGGCTATCCAAACTGGTTCATGAAAATCCATTTGGTTGCGACCATTAGTAGAACTAATGTTGCCTAGTACATAACATAATGAGAAGCTATCTTCATCTTATAGTATGCTACTACAATGCTGAATTCCAGATTTCATTTCAGTTTCAGTCAGCGATGCCATGTATCAAAACTCTACAGCTGACGGAAACAGCCTTGGTGTTCATTACCCGTAGTGTTTGCCTCAGGCGAGAGTTTGTGTCTCCATCGATCGTGTTTTTTCGATCACATCTCGGCATATAGTATCGATCGCCTCTTGGATTTCCTTCATTCTAATATGCCTACGGTTGGTTCCACCGTCTGAGCAGCCTTCGTACGGTACAAATCGGTGCACGTCTGCTGATTACGTAGAAATTTGATTTGCCATTTTGACAACAGGCGCCTAATGAACGAGCGCAGCGATCCACTTTCCGTCGAAATTGTTCCTATTCGTAGCTTATTTGACTACTGCTAGTGGATGAACCGTTGGGTAAATGGGGTTCACAAATCCAGACATACATACGTGTGTGTGTATAGTCGTTATTCCGAAATTAGCGTACGGCTACGAAGACGAGTTAGCTACACAGCAACAGTCGAACGTGTCGGTTGTATACAGTTGCAGACCAGAATCTTGTCTTCCGTTCGTTCTTATTCGTCTCTATAGTGGTTATCTTATAGCCCGGTGAAGGCGAATCATTACTTCACTGGGTTTCGATCAAAGTTCTCACTCAGCCAACTTTGGGTGCACTGTTTTCAAATAGCTTGAAATATCTTTCGTCCCTTGTGACAATTCGTCGGAATTGGGTTTGCTCACAATCAGTCGTGTTAATACTACCGGAGGCATGCTCTTACGACCGCCACAAATTTTACCTGCGTGCGACAGAAATTTCAGGTTGAAAAGTTTCAGTTTATATCTGGTCCCAATATTGTGGTTTTACATCCTTTAATCCTGGGATGCAAATAGCAGTCAACAATAATCGTAGTCGTTCCCTTGTTAGCCCATTCATTTGCACTCTTCAATGAGCACTAAATTTCTGATATCGATGGCATTGCCATTTTAAACTGGCTTTTTAATTCTTCGCGTTATCTTTTAGGCTTCATTTTGTAACAATTATCTGACCGTTTTCCAGCGCTCAGTCACAGCTTCATAACCATGCTGGCCTTCTCACCTAGCAGTGTCGCTCCTTGCTGGTGTATATCCTAACCTTTGTTGTTCACTAACCCATGGAATGAGGAGACAAACACTAGACGGGACAAGAACCATGTGTTCATCATCGTCATCATCATCATAATCGACCGCATAACATCGGTATTCAAACACTGATGCTTCGCCGCCCTACCGCCGTAATTTATTTGGAAGTTTAGTCGTGAGGAAAAGAATAAAAGTGTGTCAGAGAGAGATTTAATGCTAGCCTACCGCAACCATTCCGAGGTGCCCACTCCTCTAGACACTTATTCGGGCAATCTGGTTAGAAACTGTAAACAAGAACGCCACTGATATCGATTAGCACCCATACCTTACAGTCTTTCTACCAAAACACAGAGGCATCAAGTGGACTCTATCCTGGAAGGCTAGTCACACCGATAGCGCCCAGGCTCTTAAGAAATTTCATTTCCGGGTCACTGTTTGCGCCGGGAACAGCATTCTCCTTGGCAATCGATTATTCTGCACATGCAATACTTAAACAACTAATCACTGACTTTGGCCCTGATCACATTTTCCTGTTGCACATCTGTTTTCTGGTTGTTTCATTAACGATTTGCCGGCTCTAGCTTACACGAGTTACGTCTATGGGCAACGGTTGTCGAAAACCTGAGGGCACCTCAGTTTAGCTGCTCGCAGAGACCACGTCCACATCAAAACAACCCGTACTGTAGGCTGATTCACACGCCCTTTCAGACTCAGGAATATACCGCCATAGTATTCTGGAGTAGCTAACGCGATCCGAGCCGTAGAAATTCATATGTTAACCTCACTTGTCACACTAAGAGTTGGAACTCATACAACTTCCAAGATGTATAAAACGCCGCACAACCTCGAGTACCTCTCCCTGGATTGTAAGTGGCATGTTCAGTGACTGCATGTTCGTGACCACGACCTTACAGTTTGTGCAAGTCAAATGGAACGTCAGGCATAGAAAATAAACAAAACTGATTAGCCAGTACGGTAAGCGGCATTGATCAGGTGAACCACAATGTACCATTGGACAATATATCTCTTCTCCATGGGCTTTGTGAATAAGTGCACGATCAATTACAGAAGTATATGCAGTGAGTTTATTGATTTTTCACGCAATCAAACGGGTGCTGTTGCTTTCGAACCTAGGAACTGCACTATGAATCCGAGCTTTGACGGCTCAACTGCGTCCCATGTTGCCCTTACGTGTTTTTTCGAAAGAAAGCAGACCACATCCAGGCATTTAATCCTCGCAATCCTTCGCTTCCGTAACGAACAATGGCGTCAATAGTGGTGATGCATCCTGTTGTTAATTGACGGTTGTTACTCTCCGGCTCAAAGAATAAATCCCTATTACCTTGTGGGTAGTCCTCTGAACAAGCCTTCAAAAAGCTTCAGGAGTGTGTTTCCTGTGACAACCTTTCACAAAGGTCAAATCTCGAAGGCACACCTGGTAAACATATTCACCATACGCAAACTAGTGTCGTTTTTGTGTCCTGCTGATGAGTACGAAACTGAACCGAGTCTTCACGTGACGGTCAGCGCAGTCCAGCTTCAGGATTCGTTGTATGGATCGTGCTACCAGTGCCTTGGCAAAATGGGTTCAGTCACCGACGTGTTCACGTATCGGAATGAATAACGGGGTTTTCAGGTCGTTTGTTTGTTTTAATGGAGTGTCGTAAAATTTATGGGAGTTTCAAAATTTAACCGGCTTCGAATTCAAAAATACCCTTAGTTGCCCGATGTCCCTTGTCAAGGGTGTTTACTTTAGTAATTATCACACAAGATCGTTTACTAATGTGGCTGGTGTTGGGGGAACGCCCAACAGGGCTCGCTCGTTTTCACCGGTTAGAAAAAGGGAGCTCGGTACATAATTTTCGTTAAATATCTGAATGTTTATTCCAGCTGAGTTGAGGCCTCATAGTCACAGGAATCGAGAAGCATGACAAATAGCCCTTGGTGAAGTTTCAAAATGAGGGATTCCGCTTTCGCAATAGTACTACATCCACCAACCTGTCCACTCACCTATAGTCACCTGTGGTATGATGAAATTCGATTCAAGGGAGCAGTTTGACTCCACATTTTCGCAGTCACATTTTCACATTCACTTTATTATGAGAGTCCGACAGAAATCAAACTATCCTGACAAAAATCCGAGCATGTCTCCTTTCCAGACCATGATGTCTTCAGAAGGGGAAGCACAGAGCTCAGGTTCTCATGTCGGAGCGGTGATACCTCTATGGGCGCAGCTTGATATCCAGTCATCTTTAGAAATATACCGAAAGAATTTCGGATCCCTACCCGCAATCAATGGAATTTTACCGAGGTTCCGTTATATGTGCTTTTCTCAGCTTGTATTAAGTACAGTAGCTTTGAAGTCGACACGTTTGTTCACGAAGCGAATAATGCTATCCTCTAGTCACATCAGTCACAACTCAGCTCTCTGTTCTCGCGAAACATTGATTACATGGATCGCTGGATATCACTCAATCGATCCCTTGCTCATCTTTTTTTGTTTGACATTTAGAAGAAATCACTCCACAACGGTTCCGCTTCCTCACTTTTCGGACGAAAGCGCCCTTCAAGTCCCAGTTCTTCAAGCACCAAAAAACGACCTGCCTTGACTCCACTTGCTTCATTGCGTAAATTACTCCGTTCACAATCTCCCGGTCGATCATCTGTCCATTCTGACGTTTCCGATCGTACAAACACATTGTCCAGGTCGGAAAAAAGTGACGAAAGGTCTTTACGTGCAAAGGACACCATTACAAACAGATTTCTTGCCAAGTTAGCTACATTAGGCTCTCGTTCGTCCAATGAATGTCCTGGCACTGAGGTAGAGAAGGTATCCAAGCCGCGATTGCAGCATCGTTTGCAGCTCCTCGAACGGAATTGTGTACTGTACGCTTTCTACTATTTACACGATGAGGTTCGTGTCGAGGCCGCCATTACGGAGTCAATGTTGCGTGAGGGACGAGTGGACGTCAGAAAAGGTGTCGTGTGTGATCCGCTCAGTGGTCGTTTTGTCCCTGCCCCAGAGGCCCTCGCAAATGGTTTTGTTTTTGGCATTGTATTTACCAAGGCCGGTCGCTTTCCATCCGAATCTGGAGTAGAAGAATCAGCTCCAGACCATACTTCGTTTTCACGCGAACCATTGTTCTGGCTCGAAGTTTTTCATCGTCGTCATGATATCTATCAACTTGAACGCGTATACGATCCATATGATAGGAAGTTGGTCACGGTCACGGATGCAGTAGCCAAAGGCGTTGTGGATCCAATCCATTGCACTTATACTCACCCGGTTACTGGTGACTTGTATTCCATTGAGGATGCCCTTTATTGCGGCTGGATCCAAGCTTTGCCAGTTGGGAACCCGCCACCGTTTGAATTGAAAGGACGAAAGTTCGACCACATTCATGTACGTACGGTCGAAGAAGGATACACCTTCACGTCCATCACACGAACCATTCCCTATGTGACCATGCATCGCCATTTTGTCCCATCTCCTTCACCTAAGCCGGCAGACGTGATCGCAGATGGCATTCACACCACTCGTAGCCTGAAACGTCACATGTTTGGGGAACCAACACCTAGGATGTACCTAGGAAGTCGAGGGAGCGGCGAACCCTTGCCAGTTTGTCACTTGAAACCAGGTTATCAACTGACCCCCGGCGGTGAAGTGGAAATCATTGCGACCGGAGAACGTCTGAGCGTACCGGATGCAATCTCTAGGAATTATGCCGTTCCAGCTACCCCAGCTCCAGTAAGTTCTTCATCCTTCTGATGCGAATTTCTCTGAATCATTCTTGTTGATGTATATGGTTGCAAGTATCGTTACGCCACCGATATTGCGCTCCTTCCGCTACTTTTCGAACTCTAGTCCTCGGTCCCTACTTGTGATTTGCTTGTCGTTCAAACCTTCCTATCGTGTCCGTTTCATTTAGCAACATGTTTCGTGAAGCAGTATGGCTCCAGAAAATAGGGGTCAACATTGTTTCCTGTCCTGGATTGTGATTGAAATACTATACCTTTGTTGATTCGGGCAATGGTTGAACAAATTTAGGTTCCATTGATCGTGATTTCAAGTAGGGGGGAGATTTTAGGGTTGTGCGTAATCTGGAGAAAATTCGTTTCACATGTATTCCCTTGGTCGTTTTGCAATTAGCTGATGTTGCAACCTACTGCCGCCCTTTCTGCAGTTGTGCTAAATTTGATAGCTTGGGTCTCGCCACCTCCAGTACCACTCTTATAATGTTGATTGTGTGAAGCAGAGGTGGCCGACTCTCTGGAACTTTCTGTGATGATCTGATGTAAACATACAAGCATTCACAGTGTGCTGTTAGAGTAGAACTGTAAGGTCACATCTGCTTGGTGAGTGTGGGCATGCTAGCTGATCGACAGGTCTAGACACGGCCAGCGAGCCTCACTAGTCATTGGCTTGACCTAGTAAACAACCCAAGTTCTATCAATTCAAACCGTTTGGCGCAACTTGGCCTATTATTCGTGAATGCCCTCAACTAGCTGGTTAAATGTTAGACTATTGTATTCTTCTAAATCCCTGGTTTACACAGATACGTAACCCATTCTAGGACATTCATACAGACCTGACCTTTAGGACAGCCGAATACCATTGCAATTCATACGTCTTTCAGGGCCAGATGAAACTTGGTGTGCCCTGTGTGGGACCGAAAATAATCAATGCTTACTCATTTCGGTGTGTGCAACCTTTATATAGGAAGTAGGTTCTGTAGTTTTTTTTGTGGAATTTCAGCCTTCTGTCCTCTAAATGTTCCAGTTTACATCAACACAGTGTTTGTCATGCAAAACAGTCGATCGTTGGCTGCTTTGTAACACGCTTTCTATCTTCGCCCCACTGTAGTTTGCTGAAAATTCCCAGCTGCTGCCAGAGGTACGTGTCCTTGGTTCAATTGTTCTGCCACGCTTAAGGCTCAAAGTAACTACCTTAGTTCTCGAAAATTTAACCAAAATGCTACTTGGAGGATGGCATGTTTATATTCTGTAACAAAAACTCCTTAGTTATTTGTTTTGTGTGTTATTTTCGGACTGAATTTCATTTGATCAGTTTATTTGTTTTTCGCTAACAAGGACATGGCTGGTTCATGAAAACTGCTATAAAAATGGCGACAAAATTACAAGTGCATGGTTGTCCCTTACTGCAGACCACCAAAAACACCGATGACAAATAAGGTTTGAAACTAAGTCAAGCAGTCAGGGGTGGTTTGTAGTATTCCAGGATGTGCATACCGGGACACTTTTAGGACATGATAGCTTGCCACTAGGACTACTCGATCTTCATACCAGAGAGATTTTTGTTCTTCTGCCGCGACATATTGCAGGCGGGCTCAACATCGTAGATTTGTGTGGGTCTGCAGTGTTTCCTCTCTCTGTCATGTGCTCAAAAGAGTTGAGCAGTTATACTACTTATCAGTGTGCAACTGCTCATTCAAGTCTACCTTAGCAAGTTGCTGCGGTGGACATATTTCAGAATATACTGGCGGTGCATTTGATCTAGTGGAGTGGAAACGAGCAAAGAGCATTATTCAGCATTGCAATGTACAAAACGGGGCTTATTTTTCCGTCTCGTTAGTGAAGCCACACCCCCCTTGATGTAGATGATTAATCAACTGAAATGACGTTCTGCCAGGGTGTAGCTCATCCTGGAGGTGCCTCCTTAACGTCACTGTGTTGATCAGGTCTACTCAGTTGCTCTGCTCAGGAAACCGGTCACTGAATGTCCGTAGATTCTTGTGCTTGTTGTGGACTGATGTCTACCATTCGATACCGCCTCCGAAATGAACGTTCGTTTGCGGACTAGCTTACTAGCTTTTATGTTGTAAGTAGACGCGCTGGCATTTCCTGCTTTAGTGTTGCTACTAGACGCTCTCTAATTGTCACTGGTGACCTACTTGGCATAGTCCGCACGCTTTTAACTCGTGTTTGTTTTCCACTCCCTTCTTTTGTCTTACCACACCCTACTTGGGCCTAATCGGGTAATTCCTGTTAACATGGTCTTGCTTTTATCATTTGCTGTCGTCTCGTGCTGCACATCTTGCTGCACGTCTCATTTCATTCATTCATTCATTCATTCATTCATTCATTCATTCATTCATTCATTCATTCATTCATTCATTCATTCATTCATTCATTCATTCATTCATCCATTCATTCATTCATTCATTCATTCATTCATTCATTCATTCATTCATTCATTCATTCATTCATTCATTCATTCATTCATTCATTCATTCATTCATTCATTCATTCATTCATTCATTCATTCATTCATTCATTCATTCATTCATTCATTCATTCATTCATTCATTCATTCATTCATTCATTCATTCATTCATTCATTCATTCATTCATTCATTCATTCATTCATTCATTCATTCATTCATTCATTCATTCATTCATTCATTCATTCATTCATTCATTCATTCATTCATTCATTCATTCATTCATTCATTCATTCATTCATTCATTCATTCATTCATTCATTCATTCATTCATTCATTCATTCATTCATTCATTCATTCATTCATTCATTCATTCATTCATTCATTCATTCATTCATTCACTCATTCGTTCATTGATTGATTCATTCACTCATGCATCCAACAATCAACTACAACGGTGTTAATTCAAAACGCGCTTCTTCATCAATTTCTTACCTTTTATTGTAATGTGTCTATCTCTCCTTACTTCTGTTCTTACCTTTGCCGCTCCTCATTGCTTTCATCGTCCGCTTGTTTGCCCGTCTACGTGCATTGCTTGCCTACTCGTTTCTCCCATGTATGCGTAATTTTTGGATTGTTCTTTCTTCCCATCATATTACAAATATGTATTTCGTAGCCACGATCGCCACTCGGATTGACTAAATTCACCTCAAACATTTTAGACCAGCCAAGCGGTTTGAGAACCACGCTCGATGCACCTCGTTTTGACCCATCAACACCAACACCACTAAGTGATGGTGATCTAGTTCCTGCTATGAGTCTATCCTTAGTGCGTTACCAGCATACGTCCAAGTTGCCCACTGTGCATGAACGGCAGCCCTCATGGCCCACCCGATTCATTACTTTGGAGACTGCCATTAAACGTGGATGGTTGGATCCAATTAGTGGACAGCTGTACACACAGAGCGGCCGATCGAGCAAACTAACCTTAATGGATGCTGTGGAACAGGGTATGATAGACCCAATGCAGATATTGGTTCGTGTAGTGCAACCAATGGAGACCGATGTACCTGATCAAGCTTTGTACAGTGATCAACCAGTGATGTACTACTATAGTCTCGCGGTGGTTTTGGACGCATTGGTGACCATGTCACACGCTACAGATAATCCAAAACCCTTACAAATATGGAACAGAAAGCTGCTTACTATGTTACTTAATGCAGCAAGCTCCTCACCACTGATGAGCGCAGGAGGCAAAATGGAAATAATTCAACAGCATGCACTTACCCGAACGGACTATGATCACCTACAGACATTGTTCGTCCGTACAGATTCCACAACTGAACTAGAAACCATTGATGTGACCACCCCCCAGCACACAAGAATAAGAACTGTCAAACAACTGCTAGAAAATCAGCAAACTGAAGACCAAATAGCGGTGATTCACGGACAGAGACAAATAACACTCCGTGATGCTCTTAGCAACCAGCTACTCCAAACACATACTCCGATAATTGAACAAACGGACTCAGACGACAACCCAACAGCTTACACAGCACTCTGCGAAAACCTTCAGCTAGTAGTAAAACGAAACAACACCACAAACCAAGCGACTGCAGAAAACCAGAACATCCCATTGAACACAGACATCCAGCGGAACACTCTGGAGCCCCAAATAATGGAAACCTTCCATTTCACACACACACATGACAATAGGAATACAACAAGATCCGAACGAACGCCTTCAACATACCAACAAGCTCTCTCATATGAAACCGACACAGCGCAAGCACCTGAAATTCCAACACTTATGACATGGTCGGAAGCGTTGTCGGCAGGCTTGGTTG